GGATCTGGGATTTCGTCGCGTGAGGGTGGAGTTGGATTCCAGATGTGCCATCCACCTTCTCAGCAGCAACGCGCACTCAGATCATCAACATAGTGCTATTACTGACCGCATTTAGGCGCTATGTAAGCGTGATTGGGAGGTTGTCTTTTATCATGTGTATAGAGAGGGTAACAAGTGTGCTGATTATCTTGCTAGCCAAGGCCATTATTTGTCCCTAGGTGTCCATTCTTTTCCTGTCAGTGACCCCACCTTGATGTACTGGATTTTGTACGATGTCCAGGGGATTTCTGAGCCCCGTCTGGTTATGAATGAAAGCTAGGATGCCCCGCATCCATTTATAAAAAAAAAAATAATAAAAGTCTATTTCAAGAGATCACAAATATAATTTTCAAAATAAATTGCTAAAATATAAATATTTAGAAGATTATAATTATTTAAAAATAATTATAAAATTCTTAATTTACAATACAAGACGAGAATTTACCCGGCCAACGGGCCGGGAACAAAGCTAGTACAAATTGATAGTATTTTTAGGATTGGTTGGTTTCAGTTTTTTACTTTTTACCTTTTATCATTCTATATCTATGCATGGAAAATATCTCCACCCCTTGCGGCCAAGCCAATTTCGTGAACTGAAGTTATGCATGTTACTTTTACTTTAAATAAACTGAAATTGGTCTAGTAGCTTATCTGGTTTTAGGGCGTTGCTCTTAATCTACACAATAAATAAAAGCCAAATGAGAAAACTTGAAGCCCCATTTCAAATTTCCTACATCCAGAGTGAAAGTAGGAAGGACATTTTGGTCTTCACAATTACTTTTTTTTATTCATTAAAAAGACACTTACTAGGATTCGAACCATGACCATTTTAAAGAAAAACAAAGATCATAACCAATCACACTAAGTACATTTGTTGTATCTTTTTAAATTAAAAACATATAATTGCAGAGAGGAAAAAACTCTTTCCCCATTTAAAATTCCCTGCTCCAGGAGCGTTTGTAGGAAGAGTAGAATAGGGAGTGTCAATTTTTTTCTTTTTCCTCTGTGGAACGGGCCAACTTACCGTACACATGCGGATTTAAACGGGTCCAGGAGTGTCAATTTTTTTCTTTAAGTCCTTTTTATTTCTCCATGGTGGTAAAATATATATATGAAAAGGCAAAACCAATACTCCTTTTTATTGCTAAAAAGAAAAAAATTAACAATAAACTAATGCATGGATTCTAATGGGCTAACCGCTAATCATAAAATAAAAGAGTTGAACGGGTCTGACCTACAAGGGATTTGCCCATCAAGTAAAACAAATGAACATCATGGGTTTGCCATTCTAAAACAAGCTATTTTCTCTAGCATAATATATACTATGCTATTATTTTATATCTTAGTGGCTAAAATATAATGTATTTTAAAGTTATTCAATGGTTCAACTTCGACCAACTCAATTAGTCCAATTTTTATCATTTCAAATATATATTATGTAATTATTTGATATCATAATGATTAAATTATAGTGTATATTATAGGGAATCGTTTGGTATTTGTTAGTAAAAAACTAAACAGAAAGATCTATTTGGTTATTTTTAACATTAAAACGATCCTAAACATTTTCAGTTTCCTTTCGAAATTCTATAGTTTTATTCCCGAATCAGTGATGTGCAAATGGTGAATTGCAGTCATCTCTTTTCTTTTATTATTTTTTATTTTCAAATATAAAGTTTAAAAGTAAAGAATAATTAGAGTTTGGCATGGGTCGGTCAAACAAGCTGAATTTCAAGTTTTGGCCCATTTTGATCAAGTCTAATTTATAATCACATGGTTATCTGATACCCTATAAAAATCTCAATCCAAACCAGTTTGGCAGGTGAGTCCGTGTTTACCACCATTTTCTAGGGATACGGGAACGGTGGTTCCTATCCCAAATCGTGCTGTTCATTATTGATTTCTTTAGATTTTATCATGGCTTGGCAAAAAACCAAAAAGCACAATGATGAGAAGATGAAAGTTTTATAAAGCAAATTAATCTGCCAACGGGCCGAGTAAAAGCTAGGAACTATTGTGAGATGCTCATTTCCCGAAAATCAGCGGGATATGCGATTTTTTATTCGATTTTATGGAATTCGGTTTCTATAAAACTTACTCCACCTCATCATATTACCAGAAACAATATTGTTTCACAAGGTAACATGTACTTGATTTTGGTTCATAAGACTGATTTTTGATTCGTTGCATCATTCATGTCTCTTTTCTACTAAAATTCACTATTTTTATCACGTGTTTCCCAAAAAAAAAACTATACAACAATAAACTATACACCCCATTACATTATCAAATTTCATACCTCATCTTCGTCCGGCCAAATGGCCGGGGCCCACGCTAGTTCTTATGGAGGTCCGAAGGTTTTTGGTTCAAGACCTGTGGATCTCTGAAGATTTTGTGTTAAATGTTTTCTATGAAATTTAATTAACAGATTGGTCCCGTAGCTCAGTTGGTTAGAGCGTTGGTCTTATGAGCCGAAGGTCGCGGGTTCGAGCCCCGCCGGAACCATTGTAATTAGAAAAGGAAAAGAGTTACGCGATTACTAACTATAACTATTTTATATTTTGAGTATTTTAATTAAAAAAAGAGTTACGCGATTACTAACTATAACTATTTTATATTTCGAAAGAGCTACACAATTACTAACGACAATTATTTTATATTTTGAAAGGTTTGGTTAATCAGTTCAATATGGTTCCTTATGTCATAGATAGCTGTGCAAGTTCAAATGCCTGATTTGGAGGAGAGAAGTAGCAATTAACCTTTCAAAATTTTGGTATTTTAATTAGAAAAAGAGTTACGCGATTACTAACTATAACTATTTTATATTTCGAAAGAGTTACATAATTACTAACGATAATTATTTTATATTTTGTAAGGTTTGGTTAATCAGTTCAATATGGTTCCTTATGTAATAGATAGTTGTGCGAGTTCAAATGCCTGATTCATAGACATGTATCACTCAACATTCCAAAAATTTAATACTTTAATTAAAGAAGAGTTATACAATTACTAACTATAACTATTTTATATTTTGAGTATTTTAATTAAAAAAAGAGTTACGCGATTACTATTTACTAACTATAACTATTTTATATTTCGAAAGAGCTACACAATTACTAACGACAATTATTTTATATTTTGAAAGGTTTGGTTAATCAGTTCAATATGGTTCCTTATGTCATAGATAGCTGTGCAAGTTCAAATGCCTGATTTGGAGGAGAGAAGTAGCAATTAACCTTTCAAAATTTTGGGGGTCGTTTGCTTCGTGGATTTGATAAATGAAGGTTTTGGTCAAAACCTGGGTTTTATAAAACCAAGGATTTATGAAGGAATTGGTCAATTTGGGTTTTGGATAAAACCATTGTTTGCTTGATGGATTTCATGATGGACTTTGTTGGTTTGGATTTCTTATTATATTATGAATTTACTTATCTACCCTTTACTAACATCTTTTAAAATTTATATCATTATGTTTATTGTTAGAAACAACAGTGTTAATATAAAAGTAGCCGTTTGTTTCATTGTGCACATGGAAAACAAAAAAGGAGGGGTCATGATCCGTTTGTTACAGACACATATATATAGTCAGATTGGGCTATGGCAAAAAAAAATCTGATTGGATTAACAACCAGCAACTATAAAATACAGCAAGCTATGACAAAAAAAAAATCAGATTGAAATTGTTTCACCTGCAGCTTAACACCCAACAACTATGTTCAAATACCATAAACCAAATAAACCAGCAGCATGTTCAAATACCATAAACCAGTAGCCCATAAAACATAATAAACAAGTAACATGAACAACCATAAACCAGCAGCCTATACAGAATAATAAACCAGGAGCCTTTACACACAATACCAACAACTTTTGCACAACACTCTATATTCAGTAGAGCTGTTATAGATACAAAAACTAGCAGCCTATAGACACCAAATAACCAGCAACCTATACAGAGGATTCTATATTCAATAAAGCTGTTATAGATGGAAAACCCAGCATTTTGTTACAAATGCACAAAAAAGCCAGCAGCCATAAACCAGCAGCTTAGAACAAATGAACATCATCATCACCAATTTAAATTCCATTCATCACCAGCAAAATACAAATCTGTTTGTACAAGGACAAACACATAATATTGGATATTCTTCCAATCCTCGTTAGACATAGGAAATACACCAGAATTATTTCAATCATTGCTCAAATTGTGTTCTGTTACTCCTATTTTCCCACATGTCTACTGCTTTCAAGTTCCTAAACTGAGTCCAATCTTGGGAAGGACAAACTTCAGTTATCAGCTCTATTTCTTCCACAATAGATGAAGGATGATGCTCAGGTTCTCGGTCTCTATAATCCCTTTCAAATGTGTCAACCCCCTGCTCCTTTTTTATGAAGTTATGCAGCAAGCAACATGCATTCACTATATCAGTAACAACTTCAGGAGAGAACCAGCTAGTTTCCTTTAGAATGGCCCATCTTGCTTTCAAGATTCCGAATATCCTCTCAACAACGTTTCTTGCAGTGGCATGCTTCATATTGAAGTACTCCTCGGCAGTCAGTGGCCTATTTCCTCCTCCCCACTCTTTCAAGTGATACCGTTGACCCCCGGTAAGGAGCTAGAAACCCTTCACAGTTGCTATATCCAGCATCAACCAAGTAGTAATTTCCTATTAGAATGAATAAGATTGCGGTAAGAATTAGTTAATTGATGAAACTAATAAGGATATTCACACATGTCTATCTAAGCATACATTACCTTTTGGAACGCGAAGCCCACTTCCCCTTGCTAATGCATCTCTAAGAACTTTACCATCATGGGCTGAACCCTCCCAACCAGCTAAACAGTATAAAAACTCCAGGTTTGGATTGCACACCCCTAGAACATTCATCGAGATGTGCCCCTCTCGATCTCTATACCTTGGCTGATCTTCTAGCCTAACACGCAACCTCACATGTGTCCCGTCTAGTGCCCCTAAGCAACCCTAGATGAAAATAGATTATACAAAAGGGAGTTTATTAAAACTGATTTTGTAAGTTAATCAAAGACAGTAACAATTGATACACAAACAAAAAAAAGACAGCAGCAACAGTTTTTCACCTTGAAGTGCTTCCACTTTGCATCAGTAGAGTTTTCTGGTATAGGTTCTGGTTGGCATAGTAAAATAGGATGAAGTCGAAGGATAGCACGGAGAACCCTGTGGATCACTTTGGAAATTGTTTGCCCCGAGCGACAAAAGTCTACTTGTAGAACTCTATTCTTTTTGTTGTGTCCGATTGTAACTAAAAACATCATAACCATCTCATCTATAGATACATCATCGGAACGTTTTAACCTCCCCTCATTGACAAGTAGTTCACACAACCTCCTAAACATACTACGATTCATCCGAATATTATCAATGCAACGAGTATCAGATAACTCAAGAACACGTCTCATATAGCGCATTCTGTCATGTTGTCGGTCAAATATGTTGTCTAAGGGGGTGTTCCGACGTCTAGACTCTAACTTTTTCTTCATTACTAGCTCAAGAAATCGAATAAGCAAAGATAGATAAACAAGCAACAAGGTTAAAACAATTCTAATAGCCTTCACGGTGTTCCGCTTCTGCACCTTATTATATATCCGTCTCAAACGAGCCATAACCTTACATAAACAAGGAAATAATGACAATCAGCTCTAATTAAGCAACAATGAAAACCAAAAAAGATGGCATCACACAAGAAACATATGATAAGGAACAACAAAATGGATCCAGTCGTGAACATCTCAAAAGGCCTTTCCATTTTCACTCATAATAGACTCAAAAGCTCATTCCATTTTCACCCAAAACCAGAATGCAAGTGGCCACTTTCATTATACGAAATTGAGAAAACCAACCCTGATTATGAAAATGCAACAAAAGGTAACAGAATGTTCAAAGAGTTAAACTATTCTTGTTCTCAATTTAACATTTTAAAAACCCAACCAAAAGCTAACTGATGACATCCAAAGAAACAGTTGAGTGGAACAAGATAAGAATAAAATAGAGAAAATTGGATTTATTTCTGCATCATCGCTATTGATGAGAATAATCTCATTCCTATAATTTAATCACACTAATTTCAGTGCCACCGTTCATAGAGAGAAGAATTCAAAACCTTTTCTTTTAGGGTTCTTCAAAAGACAGATGGCAGGGGAGCAGTGACATAAAGAACACGCTGATTGTTGAGGCTTTTTCCACCAGCGACGGCGAGAAAGATCACAAGTTCTTCCGGCAGTTTTCTTCTTCTCCAGCTACGCGAGCCTTACGAGTTCGTCTTCTATAATTTTTTTTCCTTCGTTTGTTTCTTCTGTCTTTCCTTGCATCTGCAGGGAACGAGTTAGAAGAAAATGGAAGAGGATAGATTGAGCATTAGAAAAATAAATGGGGATACAATGGTAAAGAGCCATCATGGATTTTGTAGCCTATCCCAAATCCCACCTCTTGGGCTGGTTTTTCCAAATCCATGGGGCCCACAGATTTGGTACCTCAAAGTCTGTGGGCCCTACAGATTTATCATCTTCAATTCCATCAAGCAAACAAAGGTTTTAATCACAAGTCCATTTGATTTGGGTTTTATGTACCAAATCCATGAACAAAACCCTCAAGCAAACAAGGCCTTGGTATTTTAATTAGAAAAAGAGTTACGCGATTACTAACTATAACTATTTTATATTTCGAAAGAGTTACATAATTACTAACGATAATTATTTTATATTTTGTAAGGTTTGGTTAATCAGTTCAATATGGTTCCTTATGTAATAGATAGTTGTGCGAGTTCAAATGCCTGATTCATAGACATGTATCACTCAACATTCCAAAAATTTAATACTTTAATTAAAGAAGAGTTATACAATTACTACTGATAACTATTTTATATTTTGAAAGATTAGACACGTAGCACTCACCATTCCAAAAATTTAATATTTTAATTGATAAAGAGTTATACAATTACTAACGATAACTATTTTATATTTTGAAAGATTTGGCTACTCAACTCAATATGGTTCCTTACTTCCTTAGGTCATAGCTAATGGCAACATGTCAAAAAATTTCGGACTCTACCGGGGGACAAAAAAATTGAACTCGATACAGGTGAGCGCATTTGTAACACCTTAGCCAAATCCCACATCGACAAAGCAAGGGAGAGATCCATAGTTCATAAGTAGGAAACCGACCTTAACTGGCAAGACTCATTTTGCGGTGAAATGGAGGAGTTCTTGTGAGAACTCCGAAGTTAAACGTGCTCAGTGTGGAGTACAACAAGGATGGGTGACCTTATGGGAAGTCACCTTGAATTGCACCACAAGTCGACAACCGCGAGGGTCGAGGCCCAAAGCGGACAATATCTTCGTCGGAAAAAGGTTCGGGAGGTTACAACATTCGTCCCGGCCACGTCGTTGAACTCGGTAATGACTCCGGAGAACCAATTGTACCAGACTCAACAATGACGGGGGATACATGTGAGTGAGGGTGTTCGACGGTGACGTTGAGATGTCTCTTACAGTGTTGCCCGACTATTCTCTTTCTCCCTTGACTGAATTTGGCTACGATTGTGGCTATGGTACACGGAATTAGGAAGTTAAGAGTTTAGTAGGAGGTCGGCGATGAACGGATGCACAATTCAATGACATTACTGACACTCGACGGTCGACGCCCTATTCTTACTTAAGTGATATATAGCTACCCAATTCTCATATTTTAGTGGCACCCCAAATACTTTATCCTATAACTTTTGTATATAGATTATAGATATAAATACTTAAAATGTAAAATTATTAAATGACACATGTAAAAAGTAAATCTCATTTCTATCATTACAATTTTAAATTACAATTTTATTTATGTATAGTTTTAGAACATATATATATAACAGATCAAACGGATTGAATTTCAATTAAATTATCAAATCTTAAAACCACTTATTTAACGAACTCAACGACTTAAAACGGTTTAACAACCGTCCTCACATGACACCTAATTAGCCCGGCTCCGCCATCCTACAACTGAACGACTTGCGAGTTGCGAGTTGCGACTACGATGATAACATTTTTCCTCCATTTTTTCCAGTCCAAACCCTAGTCAGTAGTCACCACCAGTCCACCACCACGCTGACCCTCTTGCTCCGCCCGATAATTCCCGCACTTCCATTCCGCCTCGCCCGCCGTCGCTCCCGCCTCGCCCGCCACCGTCCCCCGCAATAACGGTAAGCAGCCTCCTTAATTCCCTAAGATCCCCTTTCCCTCTAGCTTTACGCCACTTCTCCCCCCTTTCCCTCCGACGAGCTAACAACCTGTATTCCAACATTGCGCTTGTATGTAGGAAAAAACCCTTTCTCCATGTTGCAATTTCCTTGTGCGCTGCAGAGCTGGAGCGTCCCACTGTTCCCAACTCCAACCAGCGGCGTAAAGTTTCCGCCTTTCCCTGATAACAACAGGAGGTATCATTTCCCTTCACTCAGTAGAGTTGAATTCAATAAGAGCCAACCTACTTCTGACTTTGATTACAGTGATCAAGTGATAGTAAGTTCAATCCCTGCTCAATGCCATGTTCCATAATGCAATAGGATCCATCCCACTTTGGTCTGAGTTCTCTTTCTCCCTGTAGGATTCAGATCACTAGACCAAAACCTAGACAGTACAGGTGGTGGAGAATAGCCTTGGCATTGAACACGGGGGGTGGCTTACCGGGTAATGGAGAGCAGAACCTCAATGGGGGTGATGGCGGTGGTGATGGTTCGGGGCTTGGCGGTACGAGGCTGGGGCGGATAGTCAGTGCAGGTGGGAGGCAGCTACTGGACAAGCTGAATTCGACAAGGAAGAATTTCCCCATGAAGGTGTTCCTCCTGCTGCTGGGATTCTACACCGCGAACGCGCTGGCTACGATACTGGGGCAGACAGGGGACTGGGACGTGCTGGTTGCTGGTGTTGTGGTTGCGGCGATCGAAGGGATTGGGGTGCTCATGTATGGGAAGATCAGACCTGCTTCGTTATCGAAAGATGAGAGGTTCAGGTATTTTGTTGGGATGTTGAATTTTTGGAAAGCTGGCCTCTGCTTGGGGCTCTTTGTGGATGCTTTTAAGTTGGGCAGTTGAAGCAAAGAAGAGATGGCATTGGAGAAGCTGAGTTTTGTTTGTAGGTTTTGCTGGTGGTCTCTCTGTATATCTCAGTTGCTGGTGTGTTCATGAGAATGTTTGTATATGATCACTAGCACGCAGCTTGTGGTGCTGGTGATGATTCTGCGATTGATTATAGTTTGTACGGTTGACATAGAAGAATAGGATGGACCTCAGGTTTGACGTCCGACCAGAACAAACCGAAATAACTGCCGAGAGTTGGGGCAGTGGATAATATAATTCACAGATTTGATGGTATTGTGGTCTGGTCTTCTCTGCTTACCAAGCAATGTCATTTCAATTCTTTCGTTTTGAGTTGATTGAAATAATCTGAATCTGTAATGATTGATTCTCCGAGTTATATCCGTTCACCGTTGCATTAAAATCATCTGAATCGGAGATGATTGATTCTTCGAGTTAAGTATGTTGGAGATTGCTGGCAATAGATTTTCCAATGAATTATGGATTCATCGATCATTTTCTAGACAGGCGTGAATCGGTATATCAACAGTGAAGAACACTGTTGGCTAATTGAACTCGAAACCAGACCGAGCTATGGTTGAACCAGTCAGATCACCCAGGACGATTTAGTTTTCAGAACACATAAATGCTCCAACTTGTTCCCAGGTTGGACGTTGCATTACGAACTCCCCTCATCTGCTGCACATTTTGCAGAGAATTATAATGGAGCTCTTCAATCATTTACACATTCATTCATGTTTCCGTAGTTACAGAAGCCACAGAACAGAGACAAGCAGCTGAGCAGGGGAAATAATGGATGGATTGGAAAAGAAATCGACAATGTTTCACATTGGTACAAAGTGAAGGCAGTTCCTAGGTATCTTTTTAACTGTTTTTCCCTTCAGAGTCGATCATCTTTACTTTTTCTACTATGTGTTGGATCTTTCGGGTCAACCCTTCTGTATGTTCCTCAATGTGATTCAGTAGCTGATCTACATATCCTCGGAGTGATGCCGAACGTTTTCTTTCCATTAGCAGCTCATCACTAAGTTGGCGGATCCTTTCATCAGCAGCCTGCAAAAGGAAAAGCCAGTAACCCATTAACAAAATGAAGAAGAAAATGAAAAGGGAACGCAAGCTGTTAATTGGAAGTGTGCAGAAAAGGGTTCATTGCATGTTACATGACTGGAATTCTAAACATCTAAGTCAAAAGTCTCAAACTTTATCCCTTTGTAAACAATCAGCATGAAAAAACAAGGAGATGATAGTGTCTCGACTTCTAAAGAAGAATAAACTTGAATCTAACTAAGCAATTAATTCCCTGCTGTAGGAACACTAACAAACTCTTCTCGTATACAACACGGACCCGAATGATCCTTCTAGCAATGCAGGAAGAATGCACTCATTATTGCACAAAACCTAATCCTCATAATTCGAACCCTGATCAGAAGAGTCCGTTAAGACGTGTCCACGACTGAAAAGATCCATATTGCTTCTAACAAAAAAGAAATGAAGAAGAACAACAATCAGTAGCGCCAGTGACCACCTCATGATCTGGAGATTGCTTCCTGACATAGACACATTACAAATGATCATAAGGATTATCCCAAAATGAACAACATGGGAAGCACTAATTAGAAGGATGACCTCTGCCTTCGCTTCCTATTTAGACATTCGAAGATCAAGCATCCTTCATTCCTATTACCATTTCCTAATGGATTCAATAGAGCATCTACGGCTGAAGGTGGCAGTTCGTTTCAGCTAGATGCTAAGAGCCTAAAGAGAACACTGGAGAATAAAAATAGCAGGGAGAAAGGAACGAACCGGAATTTGATAGACGCGAGTCCCTATCGAACGTTGATCTTGAAGCTGGGTGGCAGCAGCCAGCGGGTGAGTGTGCTCCTTCACCAAGCTTTTCACAACCCATCTCCCAGATTTCTGCCTCGTGAATCCCACTTTCGCCTTGCATCCAACCCTAGTAACAGCCCTATGGCGACGCTTCCGCTCTGCAGCACTTGTCCCCAAGTTCTGCTTCTGCTGATACCTATGGGACTTCCTATACCCCTCTTTGTTGCAAACAATCCTCCTAGAGATCACCGATCCATCTCGAGCCCGATTCAGATCCCCCATCCGGATTGCGAAACCCACCCGCTGCGCATAGGCACAGTAGAATTCCACCGCTTCCACCTCTGAATCGAATTCCTGGCCCAAATACGGTTCTAATTCAAAAATGGCGGTTCCCTGCGCGCAATTCGGAGAAGAAGACTCCCCCCGATTCAAGTCGAGGGGAGAAGATACTGCCCCATGTTCGCCGGAAACCGACGGTCCTGCCGCTCCATCGCTGCCGGGATTTGGGATCTTATCGCCATCACATTCTGATTCCACTGCGGCAGAGTAATAGTAATAAAAAGAATCACACTACAGAAAATCGAGCCTCGCCGGTAATTTCCAGTTCTTGGGTTCCATATCCGCTAACTAAAGGGAGGGAAAGAAACTTACTTGCTGCTTAATTTTACGGCTGACGCGATGGGCGGGGCGAGCAGAGCATCTGAATCCACAGAAGGAAAATTTTCTGTTTGGTTGCTGGGAAAACACCGGCGGTGGTGGGAAGAAATGGCAGAAAGGAGACGGTAGCCGCTCAGGAAATCTGGTTCGTCTATAATTTGCACTTCGCAAGAATGGACGGCTCGGATGAAAACAGAAGCGGTGGCCTTTGTGTAATTTCGCTGACGAATTTTATTTTGGTAAAAGAAATAAAGAAAAAAAACTTAATTATTTATATTGCCGCGGAGTTCAGAAAACAATGATGGCGAAATAATTAAATATTCACTTATCGTGAAATATAAATATATATAAGTAAATAAAGAGTCGAAAATCCATTTTGAATATGATTCGAATGTCGCAAAACCCAAAAGATCTCGTTTCTGCGTCTTGTCCTTTTTGATTTTTTCCCTCCCAAAGTCAAACGCCATGGTTTCTCTCGATTCACCATTGAAGGTTCTCAATTAGGGTTAGGGTTTTTCAATTTCCTTTCCCCCCTCTTTTCTGAGTTTTGTTTTTGTTTTTGTTGGGAGTTCCTTGTCGTCAATTGGGAAGAAAAAAGCAGAAAGAGACTCTTCAGATCTCAGATTTGGGATCATTCATGGATCCTGCTCCTCAGAAGGATCAAGATCGGGTCATCCCTACTGGTAAATTTCCCGTTTATCATGTTTGTTCACTTCCAATTGTTTGTTTTCCTTGTTTCGCTGCTGCTTTTCCCTTTTTCGTCTGTGTCGGTTCTTTTCGTATTGGTGCGCGATGGTGTGGAAGTTCTCTTGTACTGTGGCTTGGGTTTTACTGTTTTCTGTTTCCTCTTGAGCTTGATTGGGAGTAATGCAGTACGTAGATTTCTCGCCTTTCTGATTTGGGTGGAATCTGCTGTGTTTGTTTACTGGATCCTGTCCTGGGGTCTTACTTCAATTGTGATGGTTTCTCAAGATGTTGGCCCATTTGCAGTTTGTGAAGCTTTTATCACTCTATCCATGACAAAGAACTGACTGCAGCATAACCGTGCTACTTTTTTCCTTGATTTAGTCATGTCCCCTCTCGTTGACGGGGAAATTGTTTAGATATTATTGGGGGCTCTATGTCTTGAATGTGGGCCGTTAGTTGTGGTCTTATTGCCTAAGTACCGGCTTTGTGCTTCTGCGCTCGAACGCCTAATTCTGCTGTCAGCATATTGTGAATTCTTTTCAGAGACAATACAATTGTAAATGATTAACCCTAGTTTGTGCTCATGCCTGTTGCTTGGCAGTGCTGGATGCAGGAGAGACACCAGAGGGGGATAGCTTGGGTGGTCAGGTATCTAGTCAACTCTCTCAAAGACTCACTTCGTCTTATGCTTTAATGTTAATAATTGGAATCTGTCTTTGATTTTAGCACATTGCTTCTTGATATATTCTCAGCCACTATCTCCCAAGGATGATAGGATTGTTGCTGGGAATCCCCCCTCCGATGTATCAGTCATAGGGCCTGCAAGGTCTGCCATTGAGCGACCACATACTACAGATGCAAGTGAAGGTCTTCGCATTATACCTCCAAATGATGTTTATACTCATCATGAACAGAACTTCTCTTATGGAAGTGAGTATATTGGCTCCTGTTTTCATTTTTTGATGACTTGCCCTCTCTCGGTAGATTGAGTTGCAAAACTGAATTTCTTCTGTATATTTTTCTCAAACCATGTTCCTTCGGTTGTCAATTAGTCTAACTCTAAATGGACCTGTAAGTGTTGCAGTTTTGAGAACTTTTATTTAACTTTAATGCATGGCACATTTGACTTTTCCTGCTATGGTCTTGTTTTTGAGAAGATAGCCAAGCGGTAATGTTAGTTGGAGTTCAAAATTTTGACATCACATACTGTTACTTTGTCCTGGATTTAGGTTATGGCAATGGCACCGGTACGTGGGATGGATACGCTCAATATCCTAGCTCTGCTGAGGGTTTGCATATGTCTCCTGTGAGTTATCTTCCTATCTTATTTTCTGTGTTATTGTAGCTTGTTTCTACATCAAGCTCATAGTGACCTTTTTGCACCCTTTGTGTTTGCTCTGATTCAGGTGATATATAATGATAACTCGTCTCTTGTTTATCCTTCTGGGTATGGCTTCAATCCTGATATGACATATGGGCAGTACTCTCCTGTTGCCACACCTGTGCCTTCCATAATGCTTGATGGTCAACTATACTCTCCTCAGCAGATCCCATTCTCACCATCTTTCTATCCCCAACATAACCCTAATTTCCCTTCCTCTTTCCCTGTCTCGCCATCGGAGTTTATGGCATCGGAAAGTAATAATGAAAGCTTGCTGTTTGGGCCTGGCTCCGGTTACTTTGTGCATTATGGGTCTTTCGGTGGGGGGAGCATGTCTGGTGCACCTGGTACCAGTCCATTAGCATCTCCAGCTGCTTATCATCAACCTATGGGTATATTGGGTCCATACGAGCACCATGTTGGACAGGTTTGTTTTTCTGTCATTTTTTGTCCTCTGCGTAAAGTCTTGCATTAGGTATAATCACAAACTTATTTATTGGACTGTATCGTTAGCATTACTGCTCTCTGCATATATATAGCTTAGAACCTGTGTTGGTTCCATTGAATAGCTCAAGTTGGGGATATGAACAGGTGTATTGGGGGTTTGACATGGACTCCTATTTTCTTCAAATAATTTTTGAGAAAATGCCAGTGATGTATGTGGAGGCTGTAATGATGTCGTGCTGTTATAATTTATGACAATAAGGACCTTAGATCTGTTGGATTCTTCGCTTAAGTAGCAATGATTCTGAGTTCAATATAATAGGTACAATCCTAATTGTACTTTTGAAAACTTTCTGTTGGCACTGCTACTTGTTTTAATTATTTTATGGAATTTAAGGCATGTGGTGACCTTTCTTTCCCTGGCCACAACTTTGAACACATTGTTAGTTCCGGAATTGTGGCAAAAATAAGAAATTTTGGAGCTGTAAGCTGTCTTGTCATTCCGGAGGATGATCAATATTGTTGTGATACAAATTGGTTTCAAGTTCTGAACTTTTCCTCTGGTTTGGAGCTATTCTTTTATTTGCTGAATCTTGGTAAATTAGATGACTTTTATGAATATGCAGTCTCTTGTTTTTTATTTTGGATCTTGAGAATTTACTTAAGCAGTCTTCAAGGAGATAATGTTATTGCCCTTTCATACATTTTTCAGATTTCTCAACAAAGACCAGTGCATGGATATGGATCAACTTCAACTTCCTCTATGGGAAGATATCAGCGTGGGGGATCATATCAGGCCTCTAACTTTGGTGGCAGTTCTGTTTCTTATGCTGGAGATAGGACACGGTTCGGTCTTGATAAGGGTAGAAGAAGAGAAAGAGAGCAAGAATCACTTTATTTTGCGAGCGAGTCTTTTGGGTTTGATCGTAATCGAGGACCTCGGGCTTCAAAAGTTAGAAGTAAGACTGCCACTGAGCAAGCTTATTCTGGTAATGGGATTGATGAATCATCACGGTCCGATGCTACGTCAAGTTTATACAACCGTCCAGATTTCGCGACTGATTATGATAATGCAAAGTTTTTCATAATAAAGTCGTTCAGTGAAGATAATGTGCATAAAAGTATTAAATATGGGGTATGGGCTAGCACACCTCACGGGAACAAAAAGTTGGATGCTGCTTATAGCCAGGCGAAGGAGATAGATGCTAAATGTCCAGTATTTCTCTTGTTTTCGGTACGTTGCTTGAGGTTTATTCTTTGCCACATACTGTAGTGTATAGTCATACTATACATTTTTGGATAATTGAATTAGTCTAATTTTATCATCACTGAAGTTTGCATTATGTTAGTGACATGCACCATGCTGGCTTGCTTTATTTTAGCTCTTGATAAGGAAAGGGTGTTCGGTGGATTATGAGTTTTGATCAACTTGTAATATTATGGGCCATGGCTGAGTGACAACCTGAATATTCTTCTAGTCCCTTTTCTGTCTTTCCACATTCAGGTTTTTGCTCATTTACTTTCCAATTGAAAACCGGAAATGTATTCATCTAGGAGCTTTGTGACTCGTGCTCTTATATGTAATCAGATCACTGGTGTCGATTCCGCTGTTGCATTTACTTTATTATAGAATAATTGTTTTTTTTGCCTGCTATTATATCATGTCATGTGCTCATAATACACAGTCTTGAATTTGTCTTATGTTATCATGCAGGTCAATGCTAGCGGACAGTTCTGTGGGGTAGCTGAAATGCTTGGCCCTGTGGATTTTGGCAACGATGCTGATTACTGGCAGCAAGATAGGTGGAGTGGCCAGTTTCCAGTTCGCTGGCATATTGTTAAAGATGTTCCGAACAGTCGATTTCGTCATATAATCCTTGAAAATAATGACAACAAACCTGTTACTCATAGTCGAGACTGTCAAGAGGTATTTTAATTTGTTTACTTCTATGATTCTTTCGTCCAACCTTCTGTTTTGATCATTACTTAGACTCCTGGTTCTGTTGCCCGTTGATACTTCTTGGTTACATGCACAATGCCTGAGTAAGTAATTGGCCGGAAGTCACAGGAAAATGGAAGCTTTCTACCAATGGTTCAAAGGAATAATAATCGTTTAACGGTGCTCGGTAGTTTTCTTTTTTAGGCTGTTTTGTGGATGTTTACTGCATCCCATTTACTTATTGTCCCCAATGGATTCAAAGGTCTTCTAGTCCTTAAATGTTCAGCTGCTGATTGAAGTATATGGTCTATATTGGCTACACAATGTCTAGGCTGGGATTTGATTGCTTATTTGTACTGTCTTTGTACCAGTTGGTGTTATTGAATTATATGGTCTCAAGTGGGATGTCTGGGCTGAGATTTGATTACTTATTTGTACCATGTCTCCATACCGGTTGGTATCAGATTTATTTTACATGAGTTATGGAGTCTAAATGTGAGTTGAAGTCCAGTGTGTTTATTTTTCAACCATCCTGGTATCTTATGTTAGCTATTTAGGTTTTTGTATAACCCTGGCATCTTTAGAATGATTTGTTAAAACATGAGTGATGTATGAGTTTTGGCCATGCAACTTCTCTCTCCTTTCCTAGCATACTTTTTTGTACCATGTCTCCATACCAGTTGGTATAAGATTTATTTTTACATGAGTGCTGTATGAGATATGGCCATGTAACTTCTCTTCTCTTCTCCTTTCGTAGCATATGACATGTTTTATGTTGTGGCGTATAATACCTGGTTATGGGATGTTTGTTGGTGACTGGATGCCACTATACACAGAATCATTGGTGTTATTGTTATTTCTTATTCCCTTTGATTCGTTGCCACGTCCTATAAGTTAACTATTCTGGGTTCTGTTGGAAAGTTCCTCACCTGTTCGCTGTTATGTGGAACTGATGCAGGTGAAACTAGAACATGGGATTGAGATGTTGAATATATTCAAGGGTCATGACTCACATACATGCATCCTAGATGATTTTGAATTTTATGATCAGCGGGAGAGAACTTTGAAGGAAAGGAGGAGCAAGCAGGAAACGATTCCCGCTATGGATTCTTCAGCTTTACTTGGTTACGAGACCCTAAGTAAGGTCTCTGACACTTTTGCAGAAGGACTTAAGTTGGATGATGGTGCTAAAGAAAAGGCAGCAGGTGAAGCTACTACTGGCTTAATCACTGATGTTGTACAATACCCTGCTGCAAATGATTCCGGTTCTGCTGTGGTGGCTGTCAGCAATGCATCCAACCCTATAGTATCATGTGACAAGGATTTTGTCATAACTAAATCATCTGATGGATTGAATTTGGACGATGATGGCAAGATAGTGCAGAAAGATGAATTGGGTGTTGATAACCAAGATTCAGCTCATTGGTAAAATGGTTGCTCAGTAGAGGAGTTTTTCAGTCAACTTGTAACAGCTTTTGGAGACCAGTAAAATTGGATCCTTGTCCATGATTTTATATTACAGAATTCTTTGGTTACTGACACCAGTGGAAGGGGTAAGTCCGGCATCTTTGAGTTGCTGGACTGCAACATAACGACCATTCTGTTTTTGTCTATGTTTCGCTTTTGTTGTCAACTGCTCCTCAAAAAGCTAGAAGAGGCTCTTCAGGCAAAGCTTTCTGGCTGGTTGTTCCTCATTCCATCAAACTGAAGGATGTATGTGGCATTTGGAGATTTGAGGTAGCTGGGAATGGCCTGCATTGTTGGGATACTGGTCTTTTTTAGTTCTGTATACTACCCTGTCAGGTGCCCTTTTAGGTTACTGTAATCCAAGGGATTGGACTGTAAGGGGTGAGGGGCCAGGCATTTGGTTGATGGGAAAATGATTGTAAAGTACCTGCTTTGGGGGTGGCAAAATAATTACAAGAAAGGAAGAGGTGGGGAGAACATGAAAATTTACATTAGCAACAATTGTCTATACTCACAGGAAACCTTTTGTGGCCCTATTCCGGTAATTTCTTTGCTGTTGCATGTTTTGTCTCCAAGGGGTGATTTGAGTCAAAGGAACAGAGCTGGGATTGGTATTAATAGTCAGTAACATTGGCATGAATGTTTTCCCTTTGAAGACGCAGGGATCTGTTGAACTTCCCATTTAGTTATATGTATTGTTCTTCCTCTTAAACGATAGTGCAGGTACGATTAAAGATGGAAGTTTGGGTTGTCTCTCTTTTGCTATCTGCTGAGCAGGCGTTTCGGTGCAAGGTAATACATATGATTGTAGGAGATTCGAGTTGGACTGCTCAACTTATTTACTGTTGATTCGGATTCGTTCTGCAGGGTCGAGAAATGGGTGGCCAGGCTTGCATGTGAGTTCCTTCTACTCCCTTTTTACATTCTGTTCTGGTGTATCAGTGAAGGCCTAGGACTAGGAGTAACCATGAAGTATAGAATCATGAACTTTGTGAAATCTCTGGTTTACAGGCTTGATTTTCCTAATTGTCATGTGCTGAAATATCCTAGTACTAGGATGATTTGCAGGAGAGGAGGGTAACGGAAGAGAATAGGAGCTAATGGGAGTTGTTGAGAGTATTGTGGTCTTGAACTAGGATGAATATATATGCTAGAGGTTGCTTGGTTTTACACGTTACGATAAATACAGGTGAGTTGAGTGGTGTTGGAAGCAAAGCGAACTCGGCGTTGGTTGGTAGAGAGCGAATTGCTTCTTGCAAGAGCGAGAGCAGTGGTGGCGGTTGATGAAGCTCTACGAGTAAGTTCTATACCTATTCCAACTCGAAAGTAGCAAGAATAAGTACTATAAATTTAAGTGATGGGATTCACGAACAGAAATCGAGATACTCAGCAAACAAAAATTTTGAATCACAAATGTTAGACCTTAGCAAGAAATCACCTTTGCTAGCTAGAAAATAGGGAAAAGGATCAAACCTTCAATGGGAGTTGAAAACGAATGGCCATGTAAACATGGAAACAAGCCATGGAGCTAAAATTGGTGAGCTTAGCAACCTGCACTTCCTTGCCATGGCGATCTCTCCACGGATGTTTAGTAAAGAATGTAAACATGAAATCGTGAATATCTGATACCTTTATAGGGTTCTTCATTGAAGAACTTAAATGGTAAATTAGACCCAAATGCTGCTCTGCAAATGCCATCCCCACGGCCCCAATGATTGCATTCACCACTATGTCAGCTGGTATCTGCATATGCGATTAAGATTGATCGATTCGTTTGCAAAAGAAAGAACAATCTATCGAAGAAGTGATCGATCGAGGATTGCAGAAGAACGATCGAGAACCCACATACCAAATTAAGAACGACTTCTGGTTTATGGGCGAGGCATTTCAGCCTTCCTTTGGCATAGCTCACAAGTACTCCATCCACCGTTCTGTATATAAGGAGTGTAGTTTCTTTCAGTTTTTGAAAATACGCATCTTTAACTAAATTAGCAGAGAAATAGTCTCTGTAATGTGGCAAGATCGGGTGGAGACAGAGGTAGCAAATGGATTGGAGGATAGGTGGATGTATGGGTTTGGATCGAATGTAATGGTGGATTCATGGATCCAAGTGATATCTGAACATTAGACAAATATGCAAATTTCGAAAAGTTTAGGTACTAAAATGTTATAATAAAAAAATTTAGTACCAAAAAATAATTTATCAATGATATTTTACATAAAAATTATAATTTAGGTATCAAAATGTAAAATATAAAAAGTATTGGCACTAAGTTTTAATCTTCAAATATCCATGAATCCAATCAAGGGGTGATAATCGGTTGGGTTAAAACTATGCAAAAAATGCATACGGAAAACCCCAACCGATAAGACTTATCGGTTAGCGCTTATTATCAATTCGGTCAGCGGTTAGTTTAGCAGTTAACCACTAACCAATAACAATATCCACATGGCAAAATTTTATTTTGTTATTTTAAAATTTTGTATGGTGTCCATGTTAATAGTAAAATATAATCATACAAATATTCTAAAATAATTTAACTGCACTTCTAAATTGTTAACATAAAATCATATTTATAAGAAATAACATTAATGAAATACAACACCTGTCGTGAATTCAAAATTCAAATTCCAACACATAAATTAAGAATAATCAAACGTCTTCGTTCAATTAGCAAGTACCAGCTAGCAAGATATATCAAACATAAGCATCACAAGATCATCATCATTCGCAAACACCAAAGAAACATAGATAGGGTGCGAGGTTCGTTATGTCGACTGCAATGGAGAATCAGAGAAGCGTAACTTTTAGATTCTTACTCTTATACATATTTGAGACTTTGGGTGGAGCGTTTTTTGCAATTGGTGTGAATTGCAAATTGAGTTGGTTTTGAATCTTTAAATTTTGCCCCTTAGAAAATTTCCAAATATGTGGTTATACTAGTAGGCGGTTATTAATATTCTTATCGGTTAACAACTAACTGATTAGTGGTTGGTGATTAACCACTAACCGAAATCGAACCACTAATAATTCAGTTATCGGTTCGGTTATCGATTAAAATCAAAAATCAACTAACCGTTTATCATCCCTAATCCAATTCATGATCCCACCACTCCAATTGGATTTGAATTCAATGAACTGGATTAATTGAATATTTTAGTTGACGGATTTGATTGGATGCAAAATTGCCACCTATAGTTGGAGACAAATGATATTCATGGCAGGATCTGTTGTGTGTTTTTTTTTATATGGTTGGTGGTAATCCATAGGCATTTAGTCAACGACCATTAGGTTTAACAAATTTCGTTCAAAGTTCAAACCGTACACTCATGTTGATATGGTCATTTACCAAATGTTCATGTTTACACGGTTAAAAACCCTTCTAGTAATTCAAAAAAAATTGGTCTAGTAATAATGTGATGATGAGAATGTTCACCACAATCTGGATTCAAACCTTGAGGTCAACAACCGACAGAAAGAAGAAGAAAAACCCTACTAGTGATATTAACCCAACTCATAAGATGAAAGTTTCCTGCCATATGTGCAATCATGAATGCAGCACATTAAAATCTCAGCTAGAAAATTACCTAACACCTTCCAACCAGCCAGGGAATGGGTCTTTCAGGGTACTCGTCACCATTGTTGGCCTTATGATGACAAGAGGGAGGTCTCCTTTGGATTCCACCATAACCATCTCCGCCATTGCTTTTGTAAATGTGTAGGTATTAGGCCACCAATAGTAATGTGCCCTGAATACGTAACAACAAAGATAAACCAACTCTGATACTATATCATCAAATAAACTGATCATCTCAATAACTCGAATTCTTGAAAAACTCAAAATAATTTATTTATATATGTATTTTAACCACTTCCTTACTATGACCGTAAAAAAAAAAAAATTACCTTTCGAGGCCGAGATTTTGCATGGCAGAGGTAATCTCCTTGTCGGTGAGATTTTGGGAATGGAGTTGATGCAGCCGTTTTGCGACAAGCTCATTTTCACCATTCCATACCTCAACGACATTACTTCTTCCTCTTGCGGCTTTTCCCAGGGTCAGAGGCTTCTCCATTAGAATCCCCGGCGCTTCCCCACAAACATATGCTTGTCACATATTGAAACAAAACGAATATTTAGTCCTCAAATTCATATGATTGACATGACATTAGAGGTAGCGGTTCGGTTCGGTTAATCGAACAAAAAAGCATCAGAAATCAAAATTGAGATCGTCAAAAACTTAATTGGTTTTCGTTACCATAAATTGATGAACTCTTGAGTGATTCATTTTTGTCAGGATAAACCGAAAAAATGCACCCTTTGGTTACATTATGGCTTATCGGTTTTTTATATGTTCATTAACGATTTTTCGGTTTAGCCGAAATTGTTAAAAGGCTTATCGCTTTTTACCCATTAACGAAATATTGATAAGCCTGTAAAACCGGTCTGATTTCGGTTAACCGAATTTTTCGTACCATACCATTTTGACTCAATAATATGAATTTTATGACATTTTTTTCCGTCTTTTTCATAAGTAATCGTTGTTTTCATAAAAGTGAAAGACCAATCTTCATCTATCACACTTCATGTTTTTTCATATTCAAAAATTTGAATTGTTTCGTTTTTTGCATGCATGATTCACTTGCATGATTGAATTACCAGTTGAGACATGGACAAGCAACTTGATTTTGGCACATTTCTTGGAGAAGTTGAGCACGTGCAAAGCTCCAGAAGTATTTGTCCCAAGCGTGACATCGTACCTTAAAATGGTCAAGTGCCAGCCAAAGTAATATGAAGACGTGGAAACTGTAACATGTAGATCTTGAACAAAATGAAAAAAAAAAAAAAAAGAGTTCAATTGTGGTATAAAGTGAACCTTTCATCAAATTTGGTGATGGCCGCAAAGTTAAGAACCAAGTCAGCTTCCTTGAGGATTTCTTCCTTCAAATGGAGGTCCACTATCCCCAAATCCTCAGAAGAAACGTCTCCAGCAACAGCCACCACTTTCTCTGAAATGAATGACTGGAAACCTGCTCCCCATTCATCCTTCAAAACCCTAAACACTTCCTTCCCAACCACCTATATACATAATACATATATACATTTTGGGCATTTGCCAAACATGGTCAAGAGACTTAGTTTGGATATAAATTGGTCTCATAATATTGCGTAAAAGAAAAAAGGCATTCGATTCTAAATGTACCCCTTATTTTTGTTATGAAACAAACAGAAAGATGGAATCATTAACGCTAAATATGTAATTGGGTTGAACGTACGTAGTTAATGATAAGATGATCGATATTGTCATTTTGTGCAGTATAGTCATCACTCATCTGGATCCAAATAGATTCGTTTAGGTCGGACCAAAATGAGTTGACCCCAATTAGACTCAATTCAAATCCAACGCACAGATCCAATAATCAGTTCATTTGAATCCAACCCAATACCCATATGAGCCATGACCATTGAATCAAATTTACCCAGCTAGTCTCGACTCATTGTCATCCCTATTCACCGTCCGTTGTTTACTGAAAACCGAAAGAAATGCAAATCCAACGTGCATGCAGGCAAAGAATTCCATGAAATAGCTAATTACCTCGTCGTGGAAGCGCTTATCGGCGGAGGACGAATTGGAAGCTCTCAAGAGAAGGTAGAGAGCTTCTTCACATTGGGTTGGATTCTTAGTATCATCTCCACAAATACTGCAATATTAAAGAGCAGAGCATTGATAGTAGAACTGTGAAGAATCCGTTGATCTCAATTTCCAATAATCCGAATTTTTTGAGATCAAGTTTAACAATATCTTATAATTAATACCACATACTAACAAGAACAACTATCTTATACCACGTTCTAGCAAGATATATAAAGCAAAGTGAATACTACCCAGCATATGTATATTACGGTATGTAGTTAAAATCGCGTTTTAAAACTTAAAAACTTACGATTTTACGTTTTTATATCACTAAAACGCTTCAACACAAAATCCCACTTTTTATAACTTATGTAGTTAAAAATTCCGCTTTAGAACTTAAAAACTTACGATTTTACACTTCTAGATCGCCAAAACGTTTCTACATAAAAACACGCTTTTAACTGCATTGATATTACGAGTACTCTTTGCGAGAAACCCATTGCCCCAGTGACCAGGACAGTCTTCTGCTCCAGTTGCAGCAGCATTATCGTTGGCGTCGAAAATAGGGAGAGGAGCTTGTCAACGTACGCAGCAGCAGTGTGAGAAACTGAAAGCTCTCCCCGCCAGCAGTTATCATCGTACGGAGTACATTGGTTTTTCCGAGAATATCACTGTTGCACTATCAAGTTCCCATAATACGACACTTCCACCGTAATTTCCCAAACTATTTACAGTTTGGCGCAGTTTGGTTGGCGTTGAAAACGAACAGGTAATTTATGTTAATTAATCGCCTGTCACAAGAAGTGATCCAGTGGGACATCGCTGCTATCACAATCGGTTCCCTACTAATTCCTCGTAATTAATAGTCATTAATCAGTATTCAACAAACTTGGTAAGCGATGCATCCAAAGGGTGGAACTGGTGCTTAAGTAATAGGTTGTGTATTCCCATGTTCATGAAAACAAAAATCTAACCCATGCAGGCTTTAATCAACTGTTAATATTGTGGGTCGTGAAGATTAGAACACACGATCACTTGGCCAAACCAGGCTATGATACCATGACATGAACCCATTGGTCCCAATAACTCGAGCTGTTGGGAGAGGCGCCCATGTATGGTAGTGAACCACTTCCTTACACGCCCCCTCAAAACGGAAGCCGACTCATGGGGTTGAAGTTTGCACAGGTCCCCCATACTATGCGCTTGAAGACAACGATTAATATTAATTGGGGGTCGTGAGGACTTGAACACGTGACCTCAAGGACAAATCAGTTCTGATACCATGACTTTATCCAAAGTCCATTGTTTGCTTCATGCATTTATTGGCAAAAAATCCGTGAGTCCAACGGATTTGAAAATCTCAACCCTTTAGTTGGGAATTCATCATGGATTTTGCCGTTCCATCATTTGTGAACAACTTACCCCTCCTATTTTCTTTCTCTTCTCATACCAATGAGGACAATAAATGTATATTTGACTTCATAACTACAAATATAATTAACAAAATTCATCATGAAATCTATGAGACAAACAATTGTATTTCTCAAGTATATAATAAACCAAAGATTCTCATATATCAATGGTTTTCCCCGAAATTCGGGTTTTACCAAAACTTCCATTTTTCTAATTCACGAAGCAAATGACCCGTAAATCCCATGCTTTTCTTGTTTGCTTGATGAGTGCCGAATTCATGGAGTCCACGAATTTTGAACTATTTTTTCTATCCAAATCCGCGAGTCACACAAACTTATAAATCTCACACCACTCCTTGAAATTTGGCTAGGGGACCAAATCCTTGATAAACAATTACTTTATTGTCCATCTAACAATCAATCATCCTAATTCTATCCTTATGGTTGAAGCTAGTTATGTTGATTACATGCCGTTCAAGTTTATGGAAAAAGGTGTGGCAATTTATTTCTTTTCCCTAGTAAGGTTGGGGTGGTACGAATTTTGCTTTCCGCCTTCCCCTCACCTCTAGGGATGGCTATACGGTCCGGTCCACTTAAATTGGAACGAATTGATCTAGTTTTAGTTCGGTCTTTTCGAGAATATAAGGACCAAAGATTGGATTGGATACAGTCTGGGTTTGATCTGGTTCGGTCTTGACCAATCCGTCCCAATTCGCTCTTGATTTTAGATTGAGTTTGTAGGGATTTTAGTGCCCTGAGGCCTGAAAGGGTGAAGAGTTGGTTAAGTTTTGGGTGTTGGACTCTCTTATCCGGTCTTTATCCGATTTTTTGTTTGGTCTCGAACGATTTTTTACCCCAACTCTAGACCCAAAATTTTGAATGAGATTGTTTGCTATACGGTCCGATTTCAGCGAAAATCCAAAAAACCCTAACCAAATGGCCACCCCTACTCACCTCCACCTCTCTTTGTGTAAAAAGGGGGGACATCAGGTTACTTGTATTTTTATTTTATTTTATCATTATAAAAATCGTATTTCATCATTATAATTTTTGTTATTACTTGTCCTCGATTATACAATTTATGGTGTAAGTTTCTCATTTTTTCATGCTTTGTGAGGTTTCTGGCGTGATTGCGCCTATTTATGTTCTACTTTTACGAGAATTTATGTGTGGTTGTACATATTTCTAGTTTGCTTCGTAGAACTTGTGGACAATTTTATGAGTTTTTTATATGCTTAAGGGAACTTATTGTTTACTTTTAGAAACTTGCGGTCAGTTTTATGAGCTTTTTGTTATGTTTCAAAGAACTTTGTGGTATGCTTTATGAGGATTTTGGTATGATTTAAGAAACTTGTCGTCGGCTTATGAGAAAATTGGTGTGTTTTATGTGACTTGTGGTATGTTTTATGAGATTTTTTGTATGTTTTAAGAAACTTGTGGTCAACTTTATGAGATTTCTGGTGCGCTTCATGGCTTCATGCAACTTGTGGTATGCTTAATGAGATTTCTGGTCTGCTCTACGAAACTTGTGGGGTTAGGTTTATGAGGTTTACGGTCTACTTCATAGGACTTGTAGTCAGCTTTAAAATGTTTCTAGCATGCTTTAAGAAACTTGTAGTCATCTTTGAGTTTTCTAGTATGCTTTATAAATTTTGGGGTGTGGTGAGGTTCTGATATGCTTTGCAAGTTTTTTTTGTCTACTTTATGTTATTTATGGTGTGTTTTCTTGTGTTTCTGGTTTTATTTTCTGGTATGCTCCATGATAATTGTGATTAGGATATGATGTAAAATAAATGTGAACATATATTACCAACGACCTTATTACCTATAGTGACAACCATGTCTCGTCAGAAAAATAAAATTGTTGTCGGCTTCGTCAAATTGAAAAAGTATTACAGACGAGATTATTAATCATTGTGACAATTTTGTGTCGTCGGAAAAATATCTGTCAAGTTCGACAAATTCAAAGCGCATCAGAGATGACTCGTAGCCGTCACTAAATATCTTTTATGGCGGCTCGTCACGAAGAATTTTTTTTGTGACGCTCGTATTTGCAACGTACCGCGCGACAGCATCGTGGCGTCGCAAAAGAACATTTGTGACGGAATCTGGCCTTTACTGAAGGAAACGACTGGTCACTAATGATAGTATTTTTGTAGTGGCACTACCACTTATGGTACTTATCAGTTTTGCATGTGAGTTGATAGGCAACCCCTTCAAGCTTATCTGGGATAAAAAACGTATGACGGACCTGACAGCAGTAGGGATGGAAATCAAACTCATGGTCGCGGGTATCCGTCCGCCCCCGACCTAGTCAACGCGGGGATCCCCGCATTGACCGGGCATGGGTAAAACCCGCAAACAGTTTAATAGGTATGGGGCGGGTATGGTTTTAGCCTCCCCCGCCCCATACCCATACCCATACCCGCCCCACCAAGAACATTTCTTCACATTTAAAAAGTACATTGATTAAATTGTAATCTATCATTAATATCGAGGGTAACTCATGAAAATAAATAGTAGAAGTACAATTGAGTGACCACCCAAATCAAAACATAATTCATTTCCTCCAAATCTTCCTTTATTCTTTGACTTTTCCCCTCATGTTAACAACATTTTGTTAGTAAATTATTACTTAAATAGATGTACCAAAGTCAGAGAATAATGAGTTGGCTTATATTGTTACTCTATCTTATGGATTATTGGATGTTTTAGAATAAGATGCTTAGAATCGTATTAAGAATGATTGTCTCTTTGTTGACTTTATGAAATAGTAGGTGCGTTTAGTATTATAAATGAAATTTTTGTATGTAAAATTTCAGCTATTATAATGTTGGATGTACTGGGCGGGTAATACCCACCCACGGGTACCCGAAACCCATGGGTATGGGAACGGGTTTGCAAATCCTTTCCCGTATGGGTATGGGATGGGTATGGGTTTGGATATTTGAAAACGGAGATGGAGATGGTTTAAGCAAACCCGCTCCATTGCCATCCCCAGACAGCAGGGTGTTGCAAACTGCAGCTAAGTTTCGTCCTTATTCAAATACGTACGTACATTTCCAAATTATATCCATAAACTCGATAGGTATCTGTACATTCCTTTTGATCCTCTCTACATCATCCAAAACCTAAGCATGTGTATCGCATGTTGTCAACCATCAGCTAGCTAGCTGGAAACTGGCAAGTGATACCCAATTCAACGAACGACATGTCGAAGCCCATTAGAGCTAGGGGGACAAAGTAGTTACGTTGGAAATCAATGCGATAGGTTTATGCTGAATTCTTTGGAACCACTGAATCATCTCTTCACGTAATTAAAGAGGAAAAAATCCCAAGTTACACATGTTTGGGCCATTACTGCTGTCGACGAAGACAGTGATTGCATCACCGCTGTCGACGAAGATAGTGATTGCATCACTGCAGTACTCGGCCGCGGTGAAGGCCTGACCTGTGTCGAAACTTTAAACAAACGTAACTTTGTGCTCGGTTATCCGATCGTAGCGAAATTTTTTTTGATTCCGCATAATTTTTCGAGATCTTGCAAGGCGCAAATTGCCGTAGGCGGTTTGGTCCTGCCTTCGTCTTGAAAATATGTCGTTTGCTACTCCGAACGAGCATTTTTTCGATTTCGTCAAACTTTGAACGACCATAACTTTGTGCTCCACAATCCGAAAATCATGATTTTTTTTATTTCGCATAACTTTTTAAGGACTACAATTTTTATCATAGACATATTTTCGGAATGTACTTGGATTCCTGAAAAGGAAGGTAAAGTTATTCCCAAAACCCCTTATATCCATAAATAATTCATTTTTTGAAAATTCTCTCCTACTAAATATTGTATTCCTTAAAAATTTATGCGAAATAAAAAAAAAATTCATGATTTTCGGATTGTGGAGCACAAAGTTATGGTCGTTCAAAGTTTGACGAAATCGAAAAAATGCTCGTTCGGAGTAGCAAACGACATATTTTCAAGACGAAGGCAGGACCAAACCGCCTACGGCAATTTGCGCCTTGCAAGATCTCGAAAAATTATGCGGAATAAAAAAAAATTTCGCAACGATCGGATAACCGAGCACAAAGTTACGTTTGTTTAAAGTTTCGACGCAGGTTAGGCCTTCACCGCGGCCGTGTACTGCAGTGATGCAATCACTGTCTTCGTCGACAGCGGTGATGGCCCAAACATGCGTAGAATGGGAATTATTTTAATAACGTGTGTATTTTGAGAATTTTTTTTAAAAACATGTGTAACTTCGGATTTTTTCCTAATTAAGAGGTTTGAGAATAAGTGAGATTTGGGAGTTTAGGGGATTTTGGGTGTAATGTGAAGTGAATGAATTTTTTATATATATAATAAATACTCAATATTCTTCATTTTTACATGTAAGGTTATCATGTTTACAAAGAATCATCATAATTTGCTAGGGGTAGTTTCGGGTTTCCGAAGAAGAATGACACAACACAATGGTAGATTGATCATTGTTGAACCACGGAAGAGATTGATCATTATATTTATAGGTATAATATGCTCTTTTATTATGTCATTTTATCAAACATGCCACTCTAATATTTTTTTTTACATTAAGCATGTCCCTCTATTTTGAAAATACGATCAAACATGCTCTTTCTGTTAAAATTTTCATCCAATATAATCGTTAACACGGCTAAACTTCGGTGTAGGTGACATAAATGTCTAAAATATCCCTAATAATTCCACTTTGGATTTTTTTTTTTTTTGTATAGCCAAATAATTCTAATAATTTCACTTTGACGAGACCCAGTAATAAACAGGGGATAAAAATGACATTTTCCCTCACATTTGTCGATGTCGCTGGTCATCTAAATCTCGGTTTAACCATGATTGATGATTTTTTTTTCAATGACAATTTTAACAAGAAAGACATGTTTGATCATTTTCAAAAAGTATAATAACATGCTTGATGTAAAAAAATAATAAAGTGATATGTTTGATAAAATAATAGAGGGGCTACATTCGTACATACACCCAACTACATCTCACAAGTTTGTTGAGCACTGATTTATGACTATTAATTAGGAGGGGGGCCCAAAGCTGCAACAGGAGTTGGGCTTATGTTAGGTTTTATTGGTTATTTAATCAATCGAGAGGCAGTATTATTAATTAGGAGTTTGGGGTATGTGTAATACCCGTACACTAATCCTTTGCAAAGTACCCAAACTACCCTCCGCTTAAATTAAACACAAGGTAATTAGTCTTGTAAAAGAAAGCTACAGGTGAGGAATTTATTTGATGTATGGATGAATGGGAGGTGGAACAAGAGGAAAAGACCCCATTCTTCTCTTCTGTCAACCGACACCATTGATTCCTTCCCATCACCCCTCTCTTATCTTCTGCAGGCAAATCATGTGATCCCATTTATTTTCCCTCTTCCTCCCTTCCATGAAGTTAAGAAACCATTTCCTCTCCCCAAATGTGCTCCATTACCACCGCCATCCATCTGCCTTTCGCATCCGGAAACCCCCATTTCTCCTTGATCAAATCAAACACCACCAGAAGCTAAAGCTCTTTTACCTCCATGCCAAATCATCATCGTTGCCACTGCTAGCAGGAGGAGGCTGAGGCCAACAATAACACGTACTCATCCATCTCGTCATCATCATCTCGCCACATCACCGGCCACACCAACGTTCATTGTCGTTACCAAAGAAGGATCACATAACGAGCGCTGGTTTCCTTCGTATCTTCCACTCTCTCGTGAGAACAGTAGGTAAGAGTGATAGATCCCAGACCCTTTCCAATATTAGAAGCTATAAATTAGCTAACCATGGTCGTTTTCCGTCGTAGCCTCGGCGACAAAGGTACCGGGTTATCAAACGACTAATAAACCAAGAAACAACGACCCTCATGACACAAATCTAAGGTCTAGGCACGAATAAGAGGTAAGGAATCCCGATCCCTCGTGTTGGAATCTATATTTACTTGAGTTCCACGAGTTTGTAGAAATCTGGGATTTAGCGACGGATGTTCAGGCTTTTAGTAACGGTTCTATCCGTCGCTGAAGGTCTGCCCAACTAGAAGCAGATGTAGTCCTTTTGGGATGGCCAGTGTTGACCTTTGGTCACAATTTCCGTGACTGTCACTAATGGAGCTGTAGCTTTTAAGATTTAAATGTCCAGGTTAATGAATGAATTAATTTGGAATTGAATTAATAAGTATGTATGGATTAGGAGATTAATAACATAGTAGTTAGTAAAATGATTTAGTATGAATTAGTGATTTAGTTGATCTATCTAGTAATATGATTATTAGTTTTGTCAAGAGGTTCTTTAAGCAAGTTAACCGGTTAAGATAATTTAAGTTGTTAGCTAGCAAATATTGGCTTTCCCGGGAATCATACTATGAGTCTATGACAAATTAAACTAGAAGACAATATAATATTTGATATGATTAGTAAGTAAAATTTATTATTGGCAGTTAATGGGTAAATCTACTGGTTTATTTAGTATGGTAATATATGTTATAATATGCTAGGTAAAAGTGATTTTAGCATGATTAGTTCCAAGTATTTAAATTGGCATAGATTTAAGGAGTGGAGGTTTTAGATGATGAATTATTTAATACGTCAATTAGTCGTACTTTGCAATTATTGCGAAGTAGTTCCAAGTCGAGGGAACCGTCGCTAAGTATTCGAAACCCAATCGATCTAACCTCAGTATTCGCCATAGGTCGACAAGGCGAATCATCTTCTCTAGAGCATCGATCCTTGGAGTTGGTAGCCAGATCCAGTTTAACCTCTCGACCAAATAAGGTGCGTGGTTTGAGGGGGCTAGTTAGTATTCCATTCTGAATTATGTATGATGCATGTTACTTGAATTAAATGATTTGCTCTTATGTGCTATCGGTGTTTAAGTTATGCATTTACTTGATTCACGTTCAAGTTATGATTTATGATTATAATGCACGTTCAACATACTTATCATCATGTTCATCAAAGATCAAGCTGAACCCACGTTGCTAAGTTAAGTAAGTTATAAAGTTGGATCTCCCCATTGTGTGAAAAATCGCCAAGCTCTTCAAGTATGTAAGCAAGTACGACTTAATTATATTTCTCCTTGGGTGAGAGATTAATTAAGGCAAGCATGTATAAATCAACAATTTAATAAGTAAGAACAAGTTAACCTCGCTTAGCTAGCCACTTTTCACGATGGATCACTACTGGACGGCGATACGTAACGCAGTAGTTGATCAGGCATGGAACTGGACGGCGATACGTAACGCAGTTTCCATTGCCATGTTTAGGTATGCAACCGGACGGCGATACGTAACGCGGTTGGCATACCTCAGTTTGACACCGGACGGCGATACGTAACGCGGTGGTCATAACTCATGTTAAGCAGGCAGTGGCGCCAGTTAAGTCGAGGTAGGGCCCCCGTCATAAGATAAAAGATGCAAGATACCTAGAAAGTGAACAAGAATTATAAGTTCAAGAACTCCTAATAATGTACCCCTAATAACGTACTAAGATATTGCATGGCATTCGCACTCATATGCATGTTGGTTCATTTTATATTATTGTCAAGAATGGAATATAGGATTAGGACTGACCCCAACGCCCGCATTCAGGAACTGCAATCAAGTAGGAGTATTCAGGCCACCGGCTAACATAAAGTTGTTACTCGAGATGTCATCGTCACAAGGGTTAGTGATTGCGGAAGATTCCCAGTGAACCATTTTCACTTATGTAATTTTATTAGTAGGCTTGAGACTGATGCTCATTTATGATTTTGATAAGAGAGATTTCCTATGGTGACTTCAAATTATTTTATATATTAATTATTCCTTTTCGCTTTGAATAAATTTTGATTTCTCGAGGGCAATTTGGTAAAAGTAGAGCTCGGCCGGGCTAGGGTGTTACATTTTGGTATCAGAGCCGGTCTCCCTCTATCTGCACTTTGAAAGTGAGATACTGGGAAGTCGGTCTCCATGTTTTCAGCATGCTTTAATGGTTTTAGAAAATTTTCTACAAAGTTTTCACGGGGATGTAAAAATGTTTTAGAGCATTCAGTCTCGTCTACTAATAAGTTAGATAATTTCAAGGTGCTGACACAAGTCGTTGTCCCTATGTAGAAGCATGAATAACGGAATCGCACCTCAAGGTGGTGGTCGACGCCCACCCCCAAACTATGTCGCGCTCAGGAAGATGGGAGTCATTGACTTTGAGGGGTCTTCCGACCCTGTGGTGGTAGATGCTTGGCTATTAAAACTCACCCGAACCCTAGATGAACTCCGTATCGACAACGACGAGGATAGGATTGCCATGGCGGTACACGTACTTCAGGGGACAGCGAGAGATTGGTGGCACCTCCAACCCGAAAGTGAAGAAGTACCGCTAGCAATCACCTGGAACCAATTCATGAAAATGTTTCTTGATGAGTATATCCCCGACTCCATTCGGGATGACAAGAGAGAAGAGTTTATGAAATTAAAGCAAGAGCGGGGGCAAACGGTCGCTGAATACACAGAGCACTTTAAGAAGTTGTGCAAATATGCTGACCCTGTGTACCGAACTGCGACAGGGATGCGAGATCGCTATATTCGAGGTTTAAAGGCAGAAATTAAGAAATGTATGGGAGAAGCGGAGAGGGTATCTCAATCCACAGCTTACCGGGCCGCCCTTCGTATTGAGAAGGATGAGAAGATGGCCCAACTAGAGAGGGATGCCAGATTTGATACCAGGAAGAGAAAAGCGTCCACCTTCTCGGGGAGCCAGACTCACTCGACCTTTACTTTTCAAAAGGGGTCTGGTTCTTTCATCGAACAACAGTCCCAGATTCAAGCAGGTTCTACTAGAAGTACCCCAACTCGAGATCGAATGCCACAGTGTCATACGTGTGGAAGACACCATCCAGGCGAGTGCAAGCTTAATCAGGGTGTCTGTTATGAGTGTGGTGAGCCTGGCCACATTAAGTTCAATTGCCCACAACTTGCAATCCATGCACAGACTATTTCGGAGCCCTCAGTTATGGGTGGGAGAACACAAACACGTAGTAGAATCAGTGGCGGGGCCAGTAACTTCAACAATAACCACTACGACAGACGCTTCAAAGGTAACGATAGCTACAACGACCACCGTGTTCAGAGTATGAAGTCAAAAGTGGATGAACAACCTAGAGCCTTTACCATAGGAAAGGGAGAAGGTTCATATGAGGAAGATGACAAAGAGGAACCAAGGCATTGAAGCACCTAAATGAGAAGTTGAAGAGGGTATGTGTAAGAAGTTTCCAAGGATGTTCCTTGATATGTCTGTAAGGCAAGCTACAGTGATGATATGACGTTGGCGGTAATAACATTTGGAATAGAAGTTCTTAAATTCTAATAACTAGCCTCAATTTCGGGGACGAAATTTTTATAAGTGGGGAGGAAATGTAATACCCGTACACTAATCCTTTGCAAAGTACCCAAACTACCCTCCGCTTAAATTAAACACAAGGTAATTAGTCTTGTAAAAGAAAGCTACAGGTGAGGAATTTATTTGATGTATGGATGAATGGGAGGTGGAACAAGAGGAAAAGACCCCATTCTTCTCTTCTGTCAACCGACACCATTGATTCCTTCCCATCACCCCTCTCTTATCTTCTGCAGGCAAATCATGTGATCCCATTTATTTTCCCTCTTCCTCCCTTCCATGAAGTTAAGAAACCATTTCCTCTCCCCAAATGTGCTCCATTACCACCGCCATCCATCTGCCTTTCGCATCCGGAAACCCCCATTTCTCCTTGATCAAATCAAACACCACCAGAAGCTAAAGCTCTTTTACCTCCATGCCAAATCATCATCGTTGCCACTGCTAGCAGGAGGAGGCTGAGGCCAACAATAACACGTACTCATCCATCTCGTCATCATCATCTCGCCACATCACCGGCCACACCAACGTTCATTGTCGTTACCAAAGAAGGATCACATAACGAGCGCTGGTTTCCTTCGTATCTTCCACTCTCTCGTGAGAACAGTAGGTAAGAGTGATAGATCCCAGACCCTTTCCAATATTAGAAGCTATAAATTAGCTAACCATGGTCGTTTTCCGTCGTAGCCTCGGCGACAAAGGTACCGGGTTATCAAACGACTAATAAACCAAGAAACAACGACCCTCATGACACAAATCTAAGGTCTAGGCACGAATAAGAGGTAAGGAATCCCGATCCCTCGTGTTGGAATCTATATTTACTTGAGTTCCACGAGTTTGTAGAAATCTGGGATTTAGCGACGGATGTTCAGGCTTTTAGTAACGGTTCTATCCGTCGCTGAAGGTCTGCCCAACTAGAAGCAGATGTAGTCCTTTTGGGATGGCCAGTGTTGACCTTTGGTCACAATTTCCGTGACTGTCACTAATGGAGCTGTAGCTTTTAAGATTTAAATGTCCAGGTTAATGAATGAATTAATTTGGAATTGAATTAATAAGTATGTATGGATTAGGAGATTAATAACATAGTAGTTAGTAAAATGATTTAGTATGAATTAGTGATTTAGTTGATCTATCTAGTAATATGATTATTAGTTTTGTCAAGAGGTTCTTTAAGCAAGTTAACCGGTTAAGATAATTTAAGTTGTTAGCTAGCAAATATTGGCTTTCCCGGGAATCATACTATGAGTCTATGACAAATTAAACTAGAAGACAATATAATATTTGATATGATTAGTAAGTAAAATTTATTATTGGCAGTTAATGGGTAAATCTACTGGTTTATTTAGTATGGTAATATATGTTATAATATGCTAGGTAAAAGTGATTTTAGCATGATTAGTTCCAAGTATTTAAATTGGCATAGATTTAAGGAGTGGAGGTTTTAGATGATAAATTATTTAATACGTCAATTAGTCGTACTTTGCAATTATTGCGAAGTAGTTCCAAGTCGAGGGAACCGTCGCTAAGTATTCGAAACCCAATCGATCTAACCTCAGTATTCGCCATAGGTCGACAAGGCGAATCATCTTCTCTAGAGCATCGATCCTTGGAGTTGGTAGCCAGATCCAGTTTAACCTCTCGACCAAATAAGGTGCGTGGTTTGAGGGGGCTAGTTAGTATTCCATTCTGAATTATGTATGATGCATGTTACTTGAATTAAATGATTTGCTCTTATGTGCTATCGGTGTTTAAGTTATGCATTTACTTGATTCACGTTCAAGTTATGATTTATGATTATAATGCACGTTCAACATACTTATCATCATGTTCATCAAAGATCAAGCTGAACCCACGTTGCTAAGTTAAGTAAGTTATAAAGTTGGATCTCCCCATTGTGTGAAAAATCGCCAAGCTCTTCAAGTATGTAAGCAAGTACGACTTAATTATATTTCTCCTTGGGTGAGAGATTAATTAAGGCAAGCATGTATAAATCAACAATTTAATAAGTAAGAACAAGTTAACCTCGCTTAGCTAGCCACTTTTCACGATGGATCACTACTGGACGGCGATACGTAACGCAGTAGTTGATCAGGCATGGAACTGGACGGCGATACGTAACGCAGTTTCCATTGCCATGTTTAGGTATGCAACCGGACGGCGATACGTAACGCGGTTGGCATACCTCAGTTTGACACCGGACGGCGATACGTAACGCGGTGGTCATAACTCATGTTAAGCAGGCAGTGGCGCCAGTTAAGTCGAGGTAGGGCCCCCGTCATAAGATAAAAGATGCAAGATACCTAGAAAGTGAACAAGAATTATAAGTTCAAGAACTCCTAATAATGTACCCCTAATAACGTACTAAGATATTGCATGGCATTCGCACTCATATGCATGTTGGTTCATTTTATATTATTGTCAAGAATGGAATATAGGATTAGGACTGACCCCAACGCCCGCATTCAGGAACTGCAATCAAGTAGGAGTATTCAGGCCACCGGCTAACATAAAGTTGTTACTCGAGATGTCATCGTCACAAGGGTTAGTGATTGCGGAAGATTCCCAGTGAACCATTTTCACTTATGTAATTTTATTAGTAGGCTTGAGACTGATGCTCATTTATGATTTTGATAAGAGAGATTTCCTATGGTGACTTCAAATTATTTTATATATTAATTATTCCTTTTCGCTTTGAATAAATTTTGATTTCTCGAGGGCAATTTGGTAAAAGTAGAGCTCGGCCGGGCTAGGGTGTTACAGTATGTCTCAGAAGCCATCTCGTTGGATTTTTTTTTTTTTTTTGGTGAAATTAAAGTGCTTAATTTGATAGCTAGAGCCTCGAATCTACTACTATAAAAGAGCTCAAGCTGGCGGAAAGCTTTTACATAGTTTCTCATACACTGCGTACGTACGTTGAGAAACTGCTCTCCCCCATTCCCGACTCCAACGAGATGCTGCTACTGGAGCAGAAGACTGTCCTGGTCACTGGGGCAACAGGGTTTCTCGCAAAGAGTACGTTATATATATACACACACTCTTATTTCACTTTGATTTATCTTGTTTCGTAGTATAACATCTGATAGTAAAACCATTTAAAAGAAACTCGCGCGCAGGTTATTGGAATCAACTTGGTTCTTCACATTTATGTTGTCAATACTCTGCTCTTCTAATACTGCAGTATTCGTAGAGAAGATACTGAGGATCCAACCCAATGTGAAGAAGCTCTACCTTCTCTTGAGAGCTTCTACTTCATCCTCCGCCGCGAAGCGCTTCCACGACGAGGTGATTAACTATTCATAGGAAGTGCTTGCATTTAGAGGTGGCAAATGGATTAATCCATGGATTGGTGGATTGGATTGCTGGATCTATGGACTAAATGGATTGGTGGATTCATGGATTGGATCAAGTGGATTGGTGGATTATCCATGAATCTAAATGACATCCTCAACCAATGACCAATATGTAAAATGTGAAAAGTTTAGGTACTAAAATGTCGTGATGAAAAATTTTTAGGTACCAAAATGTAATTTCCAATTATATTTTCGTATAAAAACTAAATTTTGGGTACCAAAATGTAAACTATAAAAAGAATAGGTACCAAACCATAATTTGTCATTGGGATCCATGGATCAATTCATGAATCCACCAATCCAATTGAATTTGGATCAAATGGATTAGATTTAAATGGATTGAATTTAGTGGATATTTTTAATGGATTGGTGGATTGTCACCTCTACTTGCATTGAAATTTTCATGCATGTTGGATTTTGCACGTCTTTCATTTTTCAGTGGATATAATCAACAGGTTGTGGATAGGAATGACAATGGGTCGACTCGTTGGGTAATTTGGTCCAATCGTCATGATGTATATGGGTACTGCATTGGACTCAAATGAACTCGTATGCATTTTAATGGTTTTGTGATTGGGTTGGGTTTGAATTGAGTCCAATAATGGTCTGTTTTTGGGTAATGTTCAAATATTGATTTTTTCTGTCATGCTGATTATATATAGGTGCTTGGGAAGGAGGTGTTTAGGGTTTTGAAAGATGAATGGGGAGGAGGTTTCCAGTCATTCATTTCAGAGAAAGTGGTTGCTGTTTCTGGAGATGTTTCTTCAGAGGATTTGGGGATAGAGGACCTCCATTTGAAGGAAGAAATCCTCAAGGAAACCGACTTGGTTCTTAATTTTGCAGCCATCACCAAATTTGATGAAAGGTTTAGCTTACTAATTGATTTTTTTTTGTTTAGTAGTTAATCTCTTTTATTTTGTTCAAAATCTATGTATAGTTATTCCTTTGTCTTCATTCTACTTTGGCACTTTGATTTTTTAGGTACGATGTGGCACTTGGGACGAATACTTTTGGAGCTCTGCACGTGCTCAACTTCTCCAAGAAATGTGCCAAAATCAAGTTGCTTATCCAAGTCTCAACTGGTAATTAAATTAAACAATGACATATATGCATGCAAAAACCACCATAATCCGAACATTTCATACCACAAAAACTCACCTAGCTACCAATTTAGACTCGAACTGTCGATACGTTGGTATTTTTCCGGTCGAACTGCCGATACGTTAAAATTTCACCAACACTCCGATTTCAACATCACAGCGTATGTGTATGGGGAAGAGCGGGGGATTCTCATGGAGAAGCCCCTGATCCTGGGAAAAGCCGCTAGATCAGGAAGAACCAACATGGACGTATTGAGTGGTGAAATCGAGCTTGCCCAAAAACGACTGCACCAACTGCATTCCCAAAATCGCACCGACGAGGAAATTGACACTGGAATGAAAAATCTCGGCCTCGAAAGGTAAAAAAAAAAATTCATTTGTTTTTCCACTCTCCCTTTAATTTGCTTCCAAACTGCTTGATTTATTTTTACTGTAATCTCATATATAAGTATGTGGGAATTCAGGGCTGGTTACTATGGGTGGCCTAACACCTACACATTTACAAAAGCAATGGCGGAGATGGTCATGGTGGAGTCCAAAGGAGACCTCCCTCTTGTCATCATAAGGCCAACAATGGTGACGAGTACCCTTAGAGACCCATTCCCTGGTTGGTTGGAAGGTGTTAGGTATGTTACTACTAAGCTTATGGGAATTTATTGTAAATTTGTAAAACCGTGCGGTACCGGTGGTCAAACTAGGAAACTATTTGTCGGAGTTTGAACAAGTGGCGGATCCAGATATTTTATATAAGAGTGTCACACTCAAAAATTAAATTAAAAAAATATTAAAAAATAAACTATCCTATCAAAACTGGTAAAGCTATCTCAAGTCTCAATACTTGGAGTTGCCATTGATAAAATCAACACAACTTTGAGGAGCAAATAGACCATTGGAAAACAATAGGGTTAAGGGATAGTTCGTGGGTTTAATTTTAGACTTTGGAAATTTTGAGAATATATGAAAAAATCACAACAACAAACGAAGTGTACTCAAATAGAAAAGATGTTCAATAATAACTACTATGTTATAGATTCGAATCACATACACTATTATCTTTTTTTTTTTCATACTCAAACTACTATCTTTGTTGATTAATTATTACCCCAAATTTTAGGGGTGTCTCCTACACCTGGGTCCGCCCCTGGTTTGAACAGGAGATGGGTTTTTTTTTTTTTTTTTTTGCGGTATAAAAGGGTTGAACCACGATGAATCATGGTTTCAACACAAACTCATGTATGTTTTACAATCCTTCATTATTAAACAATTGGTTGGAAATTAATTACTGGCTTCCTGCTGCTTTATAAATTGAGGGTTCATACACTAGAATTTTTTTTAACTCGGTTGAAAATTACACTCTACGGGTGGATTTTGTCAGAAGTAATCTAACCACATCAGTGAGAGTGTTTAGTTTTCACTAAAGGTTAATCGAGTTTGTTAAACCCTAACTACTAACTAATCATCGATCATATTGCCATCAACGTCATAAAACACGAGAATTCGTGTCACACAGGTATGATTTTTTTTTACGAAATCCAGACCTTTCAAATGAAAAACCTTTACCACGTGTAAGATATTTTCATGCTAATTAATAGTTTGGGTATGTCTATGGTGACATGCATGTCACCGTAACATGGATTTTTCTGTCGACCTAATCCTAATAGAGGTCGACCTAATACACTATTGTGGGCACCCTAAGAACTTATCGCGATCGACCTTTAAATTGTAGTGGTCAGCCGTTGAGAGTTTAAGTTGTCATTGTTGGTCAACCACAATAAAAAAATTGGTCGCCCTTTTCATTGGCGTCACAAGCAAAATGGTCGACCATAAAGGTATATAGGTCGACCACTTGATGGTGATCATTAACAAAATGGTCGACCATTTACAGAAAGAGGCCAACCAGATAGAAGAAAAGTGTTGTATCCATTTATCCATCATCATTTGACGTAAAATGAAGATCGTGTTGGTTTTGCGGTCGACCTAATAAAGGTAAATCAACATATGCCCTGCGTCTTTTTTGCCTATGTATGTCGATGTGGGTGGTTCTTTTGCTCATACAAATTACGTTTCAAACCAACAGAATCAGTCATAAATAATGAAACAGCAGATTAGGTCGATCTAATCCTATATTAGGTTGATCGAAAAGTCCATGTTACGGTGACATGCATGTCACCGTAGCAAAGTCCTAATAGTTTTGAGATGTGTATTTTTCAAGTACTTATTAAAAACCGAACAATTTTTTTTCCTATATAGGACGCTTGACGGATTTATTGTGAGCTATGCCAGAGGAAGACTGAAGTGCATCGTCCATAGACCAGATGTCATTCTTGATTTGGTATGAATGTTTTTTTTTTTTTTTGGCACTCTTGTCTCTCTTGGCATCGTTATTTCCTTTTTTCGTGTTATATCATCATCATATTATGAGCACTTCTACGGTAAAGTTGTACCATAACATTAAATGTATAAGTTTAGGTTGTACCATAAAACAATTTGTATCATTATGTGATGGTACAACTTCAAAACTTGAAGTTATCATCACATAAAGGTACAAGTTCAAGTTGTACCATAAAAGAATTTGTACAAAAAGTATAGGTACAATATGAAGTTGTACCGTTACGTAAATGTACAATTTTAAGTTATACCATAAAGGCAAAAACCTATAGCACCAATACTATATAGCATTGTAAAATTTCTCCATAATATACGATATCACGCAATCAAAAAGAACCGCTGTGTATGATTGCAGATACCAGCTGACATAGTTGTGGATGCAACTATTGGAATAACTGCTATGGCACTTGCAAACCAGCATGTGGATCTGGTTTACCATTTGGGCTCTTCATCGAAAAACCCAATAAGACTGCCAGAGATCCACAGGTTGAGCAAGGCTTTCTTTGCTAAAGATCCATGGAAAAATCGCCAAGGAAAGCCCGTAAAAGCTGGTAAAGTCACCACGTTCAGTTCCATGGCTTCTTTCCATGTTTACATGGCCATTCGCTTTCAACTCCCCTTGAAGGTTTGTTCCATTTTATCTTCTTCTTTTTTTTTTCCTTTGTTAAACAATTCCAATATTCATATTTTTTTTTTCTAAATTCATAACGGTGACTCATTTTTATTAATCTAATAGTTTGCTGAAAAACTAAAAAAAAATTACATAGCTTGTCTGACGAAAGTATGACATGTATTCGCATTTCTCTGTTCTCGTAGATAATGGGTCTGCTGAGCGCAAGTTGTTGTCACAAATTGGAAGCAGATTATGTTGATCTCCGTCGGCAATTGAAGTCAGGGATGCGACTGATACAACTCTACAAATCCTATTTATTTTTCGACGGAATGTAAGTTTACGTATCTAACTCCCCTCTTCCTTCAATTCTAAAGATGATACGATACATTCATGTGGTATTGGAACGTACCATGCCTACTCATACCCAATGTATTCAAAATCCTAATTTTAATCTTAAAATCTTACGATTTACGATATTACCTATGGGTTCCGATCTCGATTGTACTACTAAATCTTTGAACATTAAAATTCCACAAATTTCCGATTTTAAAACTGTAAAATCCTTAAAATCTCATATGTATACAATTTTTTACGATTTCAAGGTTTATGTCCATCGGGGCAAAGTCAGATCGGTGAGGGTTACCCATCAACAGGGTCAAATTCACTTCCCCGACCCAGCATCATGGCAACACAACCCTAACCCCACAAGAAACCCTTAATTTATTTCGTTCTCTTCCTCTTCCGTACACCGACACTCTATTCTTTCCATCACCCTCCCAGTTAGCTCTTTGTTTGTTCCCTCATCACCCTCGCAATTAGCCAATCCCCATCCCTCGCAAACCATCCATGACCTTTTTTCGATCATGAAGAGAATGCATCAATCAATGGCTTACCTTTTGACGGATTGTGGTGATCAAGAAAATATGGTTGGTGGTGAATGTACTTCAAGCGATCCTGAGAATAATGATATCATTGCTCAAGCAAATAAATAATGATTCTATGAGGATGAGAGTGAGGGTGACGATGTTAATGCTGAGTACTAGATATTAATGTTGATCCTAACGATATTAGTGTGATTTTCTAACTATTAACTAGATTAAGTGATTTCTATTAGGTTTCAGGTTTCTTATTTGTGTGTTTAATTTTAATTGTTTATTTAAATATGAACCTTAAAATCTTACGATTTCACGATTTTAATCTACGATTTCGATTTCACTCGCATTTTTTATTTTACGTAATATCACGATTTTTACGACATTGCTTGTATTATATATCATTGTTTTCTGCACAGTTTCGATGACACAAACTTGGAGAAGTTGAGGAAAAGGGCTAGAGATCAGAAAGGGTTGTACGAGTTGGATGTGGTTGAACAGTTAAACATGGATATCAGGAGCATCAATTGGGAGGGCTACATCACCAATGTCCACATTCCTGGTCTTCTTCAATTCGTCATGAAAAAATGAATCCATCTTTCGGCACCAATTCCAACGCTTTTGGTGACCGTTGGTTTTGGTCGCAATAGAGAAGGCTCTTGTTCTAGCTGGTATAATGTATTACAAGATAATAAACAGAAGCAATGACTTCTTTGGGAGATGAAGGAGAAAAGCAATATTCAAAGACGAAAGAGACAAATACAAATGAGACGAGAGATACATGATTTATATTGGTTCGACGAAATATTTGATGCATTATAGCATCGTGGTCGAGTTTGGTTATTATTATTTTATCTTTTATATTAATTATTGGTTGGACTATTTGGTTATTATTTGGTTATTAATATTAATTTGTGTTCACAGTTATTATCATTTGTTGTCTTGTCTAGGTAGTAACCGTTTACTTGTTGGTTTGGGATTGAGTTTACTTGTCTTGATCAAAGGGGAAAGAGTTTGTAGGATTAGTCCTATAAATATGTACTTTTGCTCTTCTATTTTCATTCAAGTAATAAAATTCAGTATTTAGTAGTAAATTAGCTCTCTTTTATCGCGTTCATAGTTCTTTCGTAAAGAAGTTTGAGTTCTACAACGCGTAAGATCCGCATCATGCGTCAATATGATACTTTTATATTTCGGAGACGGTATGAAGTATTTCGAGAGAATTTTTTATTAGCAACCGCTACCCAACCTCTAATTAGTAGATTGAAAATTTAACATGGGTAGATACAATATATCAGCCACGACTATTATGAAGCGGGGAATTATAGCCACAACTATGTAAATTCAAATTATTAGTCATAACTATTGTTGCAGGTGAAGATATGGCTAACTGTCCGTTACTATTATTGAATTTTTGAAGGAGAAGGCCACATCGTCGGCCACGGCAGCAGCCACGCCGGACTGCTTTTAATTTATAACTTTAAAACATAAAAGTTTAGTCAACATTATTAACGAAATTGTTAACAGATAGTTAACATTTCGCTAATAATTTGAATTTCCATAATTGTGGCTATAAGTCCCCGCTTCATAATAGTTGTGGCTAATATATTGTATTTACCCATTTAATATTGACTCGACACAAATCAATAAGGGAATAGACGCAACAGGCCAACAGCCACACCTGTTCCATTCTTAACTAATCCCAAGCTAAGAAACATCCATCTCTAATAATTTGAATTTCCATAATCGCAATGTTGGTCACTATAATTACAAAAAACTTTCATGTTTGGTCACTAAAAATATTTAATTTCATTCGTGGTCACTAAAATTAGTTAAACAATTCAATTTTGGTCACTCTCCGTCCAACTCCATTAACTTTTGCTTATGTGGAAGTTGGCCGTTAAATGTGTGAGATGACAATTAAAAATAATAAAATAACTAATATTTCCTTTTTAAAATTTTCCACCTCGAAAAAGAATAAAAATTAAAATTTTCACCACTCGTGTATCTCCCAAATTTTAAAATAATAATTAAAAATCTTTATATTGGGCAAAATAGTAGCCGGACGGGATAATCTTCCTACCGGCGACGATTATATATAGGTAATTTTGTGAGTGGGAAGATAGCGGCGGAGTGCCGGAGTCTCAACGCCGAATCCAGCTCCATCGTTTCGAACATTTCCCGGGAGATTCTGGATTCTCATGTGTAAACGTATGCCCAGCCGACCGCCGGGGGGTGAATCGATTAGAGAGGGTTCGCGACGGCGAAACGCCACCAGTGGAGACGCCGCAAGGAATGACGAACGATGAAATCGAAGGCGGAGGCGCGCAAGGAACGACGACAGTCTACAGATTGAATGGTGAATCGTGGCCGAGACAGAGGATTGAACGAGCGGGTTTCGATTACTTGTCGGGGATCGGAATTTGACGCTGGGATAGTACTGTCTTCACACGCAGACACAAGGATATCTCATTCCATAAGGAGTTTTAAATTGAAATAAATTAAAAACGTGTAATTTAGTGATTGGGGGAGGTGACGTATATGGGCATGGCGGCCGGCTACCCCTCATCCTCTGTTTCTCAAGCTCCAGACACCACGGCCAATGAGGATGACAAAGCCCGACTGTTGCTGCTCGTCGAGCCACAAATCCCCGTGGGCATACGCCGGCTGCGGTAATAATAGATGACGACATGGGGACGGAATTAATGCAGTTCAACGACCACCCTTAGCTTCCCGCAAGGGTGGTCGACTTTTAAAATTGACCGCCACATAAACAAAAGTTAACGGAATTCGGACGGAGAATGACCAAACTCGAACGGTTTAACTAATTTTAGTGACCACGAATGGAATTAAATATTTTTAGTGACCAAACGTGAACGTTTTCTATAATTACAGTGACCAACCTTGCAATTTACCCCAAAAAAATCTATACAATAATAAGATATACACCCCATTACATTATCAAATTTCATACATCACCATTCTCCTGCCAACTGACCGGGGCCCATCCTAGTTTTTTTTTTTTTTGGTGTATAGGAAATTCAATTACAAGTAATTAAAAGTTGAAGAAACAAAAACATGTGCGGGGGAAACTCCAGCCACAACCTCAAGTCGTATTCGGGTTCCCAATGTGTCCAACTCCCATTTTATCTTGGCGCAAATATAACTCCACACTCGGCGGGGCAGTATCCCAGCATTCCTCGGAGTGCCCTAATTGGTGTCCTAGTTTAGCTAGACAATCGGCAACAGAATTAGCTCCTCTTGGCACAAAAGAAATCGTAGCCTCCCAATTATTTGTCAGAAGACTACGACAATCATCTATCAATACCCAGTCTGGATGGGTTGAAGGGGCATTTCCGCGTATCAATAGTATCGCTGCTTGTGAATCCGTCTCAACTTCAATTCTTCTAATTCCAAGCCACCAAACTAAAGATAAACCATCTCTTATTGCTCACCCTAGTTATTAGTAGGGGACCGAAGCTGAAATAGAAGGTGGGCTTTAGGTTTTATTGGTTAACTATTAATTGGGGGGCCGAAGCTGAAATAGAAGTTGGGCTTTTGTTAAGTTTTATTGGTTAACTATTATTAGTAGGGGGGACCGAAGCTGAAATAGAAGTTGGGCTTTAGGTTTTATTGGTTAACTATTAATTGGGGGGCCGAAGCTGAAATAGAAGTTGGGCTTTTGTTAGGTTTTATTGGTTATTTAATCAATCGAGAGAGGCAGTATATTAATTAGGAGTTTGTCGTATGTCATAGGCTCATAGCCATATATGCATCTCGTGCTTTGGTTCTGGCAATATAATATACGTGTTCGCTTTTGACGCCAACAAATACAAACCGCACCAAATTGGGAAATTTTTTTGGTGAAATTAAAGTGCTTTGATAGCTAGAGCCTCGAATTACTACTATAAAAGAGCATAAGCTGGCGGAAAGCTTTTGAGAGGTACTATTTAACGCCCTAACTTTTTAAATAGTTTCTCATACACTGCTCTCCCTCATTCTCGACGCCAACGATGTTGCTACTGGAGCAGAAGACTGTCCTGGTCACTGGGGCAACAGGGTTTCTCGCAAAGAGTACGTTATATATATATACTCTGATATCACTTTGCTTTGCTTTATCTTGTTTCGTGGTATAACATCTATTAGTAAAACCATTTAGAAGAAACTCGCGCGGGTTATTGAAATCAACTTGGTTCTTCACATACTCTCTGCTCTTTAATACTGCAGTATTCGTGGAGAAGATACTGAGGATCCAACCCAATGTGAAGAAGGTCTACCTTCTCTTGAGAGCTTCCACTTCATCCTCCGCCGCGAAGCGCTTCCACGACGAGGTGATTATAACTAGGACTGTCCATTTGGTTTTGGTTTTTTGGTTTTAACCGAAACCAAACCAATTGGAAAGCTAATGGTTTCAGTTCTTTGGTTTTAAACCAATAAGCAACTTAATGGTTTGGTTTGGTTAAAACCGAAAAACCAATAAAAACCATTAAGAAATCAATAAGAATAAAATGATTTATCAACAAATATTTTTCTTCTTCTTTTGACACGCATGCCAACCAATAATTTGTAATGGCCATTTACCATTATTATTATTATGACGTTTATTCAATAAAAATGAGGGAAACGAGAATAAATACGAGTGTAAACTCATATTGGTTTTTGGCAACCGAAAACCAATAAGGACCTTAATGGTTTTGGGATTTGGTTTTTGGTTTTTCATACTTAATGGTTTGGTTAACCAAACCAAACCAAATTGACAGCCCTAATTATAACTATTCATGGGAATGAATTTTCGTGCTTGCATTGCATGCATGTTGGATTTTGCACGTCTTTCAGTTTTCAGTAGATATAATCAACGGATTGTGGACAGGAATGATAATGGGTCGACCCGTTGGTTAATTTGATCCTATTGTCATGAGCTATATGGGTATTGCGTTGGACTCAAATTTTAATGGTTTTGTGTTGGGATGGGTTTGAATCGAATAAAATTAGAGTCGACTCGTTTTTCGTCCGATCCAAATGAATCTATTTGAGTCCAGATGATTGTAACCAAAAATAATAAGAAAGAAATTACATCAGGATCTTATATGTTTTTTTTTTTTGTTTCTTCTTCTACACATTACTATAACACCAATTTAGATCCAAAGTGAAAAATTGAGTATAGATCCGCCCCAAATGCAAAATTACCTGAATCTGATTTGACCCATGTTTGGGTAATGTTCAAATATTGATTTTTTTCTGTAATGCTGATAAATATATATATATATATAGGTGCTTGGGAAGGAGGTGTTTAGGGTTTTGAAGGAGAAATGGGGAGCAGGTTTCCAGTCATTCATTTCAGAGAAAGTGGTTGCTGTTGCTGGAGATGTTTCATCAGAGGATTTGGGGATAGAGGACCTCCATTTGAAGGAAGAAATCCTCAAGGAAACCGACTTGGTTCTTAATTTTGCAGCCATCACCAAATTTGATGAAAGGTTTAGCTTACTAATTGATTTTTTATTTAGTTAATCTCTTTTATTTAGTTCAAAATCTATATGTAGTTTTTTTTTTTCAGAATCTTTTTTTTCCCAACAATCTATATATAGTTATTCCTTTGTCTTCATTCTACTTTGGCCCTTTGATTTTTAAGGTACGATGTAGCACTTGGGACGAATACTTTTGGAGCTCTGCACGTGCTCAACTTCTCCAAGAAATGTGCCAAAATCAAGTTGCTTATCCAAGTCTCAACTGGTAATTAAAATTAAGCAATGACATGTATGCATGCAAAAACCACCACAATCCAAACATTTCACACCACAAAAAACTCACCTACCGATTTAGCCTCCAATTAATAATGTAATTTTCCGGTCCAACTGTCGCGATACGTTAAAATTTCACGAACAAACAATACTCCGATTTCGACATCGCAGCGTATGTGTACGGGGAAGAGCGGGGGATTCTCATGGAGAAGCCGCTGATCCTGGGAAAAGCCGCTAGATCAGAAAGAACCAATATGGACGTATTGAGTGGTGAAATCGAGCTTGCCCAAAAACGACTGCACCAACTGCATTCCCAAAATCTCACCGACGAGGAAATTACCACTGCAATGACAAATCTCGGCCTCGAGAGGTAATTATTATTTGTTTTTTTCACTCTCCCTTAATTATTTGCTTCCAAACTGCTTGTTTTTGTATGTGTGGGAATTCAGGGCTGGATACTATGGGTGGCCAAACACGTACACATTTACAAAGGCAATGGCAGAGATGGTTATGGTGGATTCCAAAGGGGACATCCCTCTGGTCATCATAAGGCCAACAATGGTGACGAGTACCTTTCAAGACCCTTTCCCTGGCTGGCTGGAAGGTGTTAGGTATGTTACTTACTAAGCTATGGGAACTTATTGTAAATTTGTAAAACCGTGCGGTACCGGTGGTCAGACTAGGAATTTGAACCAGAGATGTTTTTTTTTGGGCGGTATAAAAGGGTGTCGAATCACGATTAATCACGCGGTTTAAATACAAATTCATGTACGCACGGGGTTGTTTGGAAGTTGTGATTCTTCAAATTGCTGTATTGGGACAATTAGTGTATTATCATTTGATGGATTGAATCAATTGATGTATTAGGTAAATATCTTGTTTGGAGGTTTAGGGGTCGTTTGCTTGAGGGTTTTGGTGATGGATTTGGTGATGGAAATATATCCATCATGGACTTGAACCGAAATCCATCGTTTGCCTTAGGGAATTAGGGAGATGGAATTTGTGGGGCCCACCACTTTTGGGGTTCCAAATCCGTGGACCCCCACGGACTTTGTAGTTGAATTATTAATCCACATAGTGGTAAAGAGTTTAAAATTTCTTTCTTTGTTTTGGATTAGTTTTAAATGAAGGATTTGGATTATAATATAGAAATATAATTAAATAAGGGTAACTAGGTAATTTGTATTTAATATCCACAAATCTAATCAAACAAAGTCCATAATCAAATCCATCAAGCAAACAATAGACTTGTTCAAATCCATAATGCCACCAAATCCATCATATATCCATGGTTTTCCAAAACCCAGGTTTTACCAAAACCCTCATTTTTCAAATCCATGAAGCAAACGACCCGTTAGATTGTATTTTTGTTCCAAAGGTAAAAAAAATTAGTGTTGAGTGATTGTGAAGAATCTCAACAAAGAGTAGAGATTGTAAATCTCTCAATATTGAGTGATTGTGGTGGGCCCTCCAAAAAGTAAATGCATGTATTCTAGTTCTATATAAACAAAAAAAAATGACTTAATCTCATAAATACATAAATTAGATCAATACACCATTTGAAATCACAACTTCCAAACGACCCCTACGTTTTACAATCCTTCATTATTAAACAACTTGTTGGAAATTAATTACATGGTTTCCTGCTGCATGCTGCTTTATAAATTCAGGGTTCATACACCAGGGGTTTTTAACCACTATTGAAAATTACACTCTACGGGTGGATTTCGTCAGAAGTAATCTAATCACATCAGCGAGAGTGTTTAGTTTTTACTAAGGTTAATCAAGTTTGTTAAACCCTAACTACCAACTAATATCATCGATCATATTGCCATCAACGTCATAAAACACGAGAGTTCGTGTCCCATCACGATTAATCACACGGTTTCGACTCAAACTCCTGTACGTTTTACAATCCTTCATTATAAAACAACTGGTTGGAAATTAATTACATGGTTTCTTGCTGCTTTATAAATTGAGGGTTCATACATCAAAAGTTTCTGACTCGGTTGAAAATTACACTCTACGAGTGGGTTTCGTCAGAAGTAATCTAATTACATCAGCGAGAGTGTTTAGTTTTCACTAAAGGTTAATCGACTTTGTTAAACTGTGACTACCAACTAATCATCAATCATATTGCCATCAACTTCAGACCTTTCAAATGAAAAACTTTTACCACGTGCAAGATATTTTCATGCTAATTAATAGTTTTTGAGATGTGTATTTTTCAAGTACTAATCGAACCATTTTTTTTCCTATATAGGACGCTTGACGGATTTATTGTGAGCTATGCCAGAGGAAGACTGAAGTGCATCGTCCATAGACCAGATGTCATTCTTGATTTGGTATGAATGTTTTTTTTTTTTTTTTGCACTCTTGTCTCTCTTGGCTTCGTTATTTCCTTTTTTTCGTGTTATAACATCATCATATTATATACGCCATCACGCAATCAAAAAGAACCGCCGTGATGTCTCATTTAGAATCTTTTTTTCAAATTTCAACTTCACATCTATCCTCGTCTAAACCATTTTATTATCGCCTCTCGATCGCATCCTCCTGAAATACTTAAGTAATTCCTAGACATCTCTTCTCGCCCCCGAATCGTTGGAAATGTCTCTGCTTGTGATCAAAGCGACGCGTTTTCCTTCTTTCTAGCGTCTGGATAACGCTTTTTTAGAACCTATGGTTTTGTGACAACAGTATATGATTGCAGATACCAGCTGACATAGTTGTGGATGCAACTATTGGGATAACTGCTATGGCACTTGCAAACCAGCATGTGGATCTGGTTTACCATTTGGGCTCTTCATCGAAAAACCCAATAAGACTGCCAGAGATCCACAGGTTGAGCAAGGCTTTCTTTGCTAAAGATCCATGGAAAAATCGCCAAGGAAAGCCCGTAAAAGCTGGTAAAGTCACCACGTTCAATTCCATGGCTTCTTTCCATGTTTACATGGCCATTCGCTTTCAACTCCCCTTGAAGGTTTGTTCCATTTTATCTTTTCCCCCCCCCCCCCCCCCCCCCCCTTTGTTAAACAATTCCAATATTCTTTTTTTTTTTCTAAATCCATAATGGTGACTCATTTTTATTAATCTAATAGTTTGCTGAAAAACTAAAAAGAATCACATAGCTTGTCCGACGAAAGTATGATATGTATTCACATTTATCTGTTCTCGTAGATAATGGGTCTGTTGAGCGCAAGTTGTTGTCACAAATTGGAAGCAGATTACGTTGATCTCAGTCGGCAATTGAAGTCAGGGATGCGACTGATACAACTCTACAAATCCTATTTATTTTTCGACGGAATGTAAGTTTACGTACCTAACTCCGCTCTTCCTTCAATTTTAACGGTGATACGATACGTTCATATGGGTACTGGAACGTGTCATGCCTACTCATATCATTGTTTTATGCACAGTTTCGATGACACAAATTTGGAGGTGTTGAGGAAAAGGGCTAGAGATCAGAAAGGGTTGTACGAGGTGGATGGGGTTGAACAGTTAAACATGGATATCAAGAGCATCGATTGGAAGGGCTACATCACCAATGTCCACATTCCTGGTCTTCTTCAATTCGTCATGAAAAAATGAATCCATCTATGGGCACCAATTTCCAACACTTTTGGTGACCGTTGGTTTGGTCGCAATAGAGAAGGCTCTTGTTCTAGCTGGTATAATGTATTACAAGATAATAAACAGAAGCAATGACTTCTTTGGGAGATGAAGGAGAAAAGCAATATTCAAGACGAAAGAGACAAATACAAATGAGACGAGAGATACGTGATTTATATTGGTTTCGTCGAAATATTTGATGCATTGTAGCATCGTGGTCGAGTTTGATTATTATTATTAATTATCTTTCATATTAATTATTGGTTGGACTATTCGGTTATTATTTGGTTATTAATATTAATTTGTGTTTACAGTTATTATCATTTGTTGTCTTGTCTAGGTAGTAATCGTTTACTTGTTGGTTTGGGATTGAGTTTACTTGTCTTGATCAAAAGGGAAAGAGTTTGTAAGATTAGTCCTATAAATATGTACTTTTGCTCTTCTATTTTCATTCAAGTAATAAAATTCAGTATTTAGTAGTAAATTAGTTCTCTTTTATCGCGTTCATAGTTCTTACGTAAAGAAGTTTGAGTTCTACAACGCGTAAGATCCGCATCATGCGTCAATATGATACTTTTATATTTCGGAGACGGTATGAAGTATTTCAAGAGAATCTTTTATTAGCAACCGCTACCCAACCTCTAACTAGTAGATTGAAAATTTAACATTGACTCAACACAAATCAATAAGGGAATAGACGCAACAGACCAACAGCCACACTTGTTCAATTCTTAACTAATCCCAAGCTAAGAAACATCCATCTCTCTTGGGGTAGGTTAGCATGCTAACCCCTTAAGGGATTGGTTTTTTGATACCTCATTTCTTATTGGTCAATTTTTCTATTAATTATTTGACAAGTATTAATTAAAGTATACATAATAAATGCAACTTGTAGAATTTAATACTCTTATTAAATACAAATTAAGAATTAAATACAACACATTAATTACTTGCATTTTTTAAATCTAAACCTATACAAAATACAATTCTCTCTCCTATCTCTAATCCTTCTCTCTACTTCCTTTTCCAGCAACCTCCGACCGACTCCTTCCCAAGCCCCTCTCCCGGTGAGTTTTCAATTTTCAGATCTGATTTTTCTATTTCCATATCTGATTTTTGTATCACTGCACTGATATTTGTACCACTGCACTTAAACTCAAAATATGGTATTTGTACCAGTGCACTGGTAGCACTACCAATGCACTGGTAGCGATACCACTCCACTGGTAGCGATATCAGTGCACTGGCACAAATGTCAGATCTAGTATCAGTGCAGTGGTACTACATATCAGGTGGCCGGAGAGATTCTGCCGGTGGGATTTCACCGGCTAAGTGTGGTGGTCGAAGGAACCGAGGAAGCTTGGTGGTCGGAGGTTGCTGGGAAAGGGAAAAAACAAAGATAGGAGAGAGAATTGTATTTTGTATAGGTTTAGATTTAAGAAAAAGTAAGTAATTAATGTGGTGTATTTAATTCTTACTTTGTATTTAATAAGAGAACATTTATTATGTTTACTTTCATTAATACTTGTCAATGATTAATGAAAAAATTGACAAATTAAGAAGGGGTATAAAAAAACCAACCCTTTGGGATAGGCATGCTAACCGACCCCATTTCTCTCTCACATAGGGATAGCAATTTTGACCTGACCCGATTTACCCAACCTGTTTGCCCTGTTTTGGGACGGGTCAGACCCGCCCTGTAGACGGGACGAGCATAGGTATCGAGATACCCGCCTCGGACCTGCCCATTGTCATTCCTACTCTCACACACATAGTCAATCTAACCAATTTAACCCTTTCCAAAAAAAATACCGAACCAGAACGCATTGATGACTCGGGATGATAGAATAGAAGTAATAACCAGCGGTCATTGACTGATTGGAGCCCAATATCAAGGCCCAATCAGTGAGCTCAATATCCATAACCAAGAGGGCCAAGCCCAGCAACAAAACAATTACGCACTCCAAGTTGGCCGCGCAAACGGTAACACAAGTAGATTCGAATTTCAAAAAAACATCCCGAAAACCAACGGCCGCCCATTCCTTTGAATCTCCTTTGCATCGCAGCCGTCCATTTCTCCTGGCACATCCCAATCAACGGTCCTCCTTCTCCCTCTCCACGCTCCGGAGAACGGAATAAGAAAGTGAACTCGCAGGACGAAGACTCAGATCACCATAGCCATCGACTGAGAGATAGAGAGAGACTAGAGAGAGAAAGAGAGATGGAGAAACCTGTGACCACGGCGTCAGTGATGGAGTTGTTCGAGAAGCTGGAGAAGGTCGGCGAAGGGACGTACGGCAAGGTGTACAGAGCGAGGGAGAGAGCGACAGGGAAGATCGTTGCTCTGAAGAAGACCCGACTCCATGAGGACGACGAAGGAGTTCCTGCGACTACTCTTCGCGAGGTCTCCATCTTGCGAATGCTCTCCAGGGATCCTCACGTTGTGAGGTACTACTGATATCTATCGCCATGGATTTTAAGTCCCTGCGCTGATTCTCCCTATTACTCTTGCTTGTTTGAATCTGGAGTTTTAGTACCCTGACTCCGTGATAAATTAGGTTCTCTAGATGGAATGAGATCATTTGTCCGATTAGGGTTTCTGTAGAACTCGGAAATTTTACTGAAATGATGAATTAGGTTTAATCCCTGAAGCGAATTGACTGGGGTTGGACTTGGGGGAAATGAGTCATTTGGTTTAGTTTCGATTCGTTTGGTGATGATCGGTATATGTGCTTTCAAGAGATGAAAAATCGGCAGTTGAATCGGGTTCGAAATCGGTGATGATTTAAATGAGGTCTGATTTTGATTGGTAGATTGTTGGACGTTAAACAAGGGCTGAGCAAAGAAGGGAAAACAGTTCTGTACCTGGTGTTTGAGTACATGGAGACTGATCTGAAGAAATACATCAGGAGCTTCCGCCAAACTAAAGGCACCATTCCTACGGACATTGTTAAGGTACTGTAGTGTAGCCAATGTTGAAAGCTCTATCGATGAACCATTCGTCAGCATCTTTATTTATATGTTGCTCGGAAAATCTTATATGGGTCTTGTATTAACCAGTTGCTATAATTTTTCTATCAACCCATGTCCAGAGCTTGATGTATCAATTGTGTAAGGGTGTCGCATTCTGTCACGGGCATGGGATCTTGCACAGGTATTTGAAACCCTTTTCTCGAAATAGTTTGTTTGGTCCAAAATTTGTTCTTTAACTAATGGTTGTTTTGCTTTCTTGTGTTGTTGATCTCCTGTGCAGGGACCTCAAGCCCCACAATCTGTTGATGGACAAAAAGACAATGATGCTTAAGATTGCAGATCTTGGACTCGCTCGTGCATTTACTCTCCCTATCAAGAAGTACACACATGAAGTAAGTTCACAAGTGGAACACTTCCTTCTTTTGTGCTATTCTTTCTTGCGATAGCTAGCTCCAGAGAAAAGTTTCCCAGAGTTGTCAATTTCTAAAAGGGGTTATGTGGGGTGCAATGTTGCTCTTCAGATCCTGACTCTCTGGTATAGAGCTCCTGAAGTCCTCTTAGGAGATACCCACTACTCGGTTGCTGTCGACATATGGTCTGTTGGCTGCATATTTGGTAAAGATTTTTCTGTTCACCCCCTCCATAGTTTATGTTCCACCTCTCTAGCGTTTTAAGCCAAGTCAGTTCACTAATATTTCTGTATTGGCCTTGTTCATGAATTCCAGCTGAATTAGTGAACCTGCAAGCTATTTTCCAAGGAGATTCAGAGCTGCAGCAGCTTCTGCATATTTTCAGGTTTGCTTTTGACTTGAAAGTCCATTCCTGTAACCTTTTCCTTGCTCGACAATGCTAGTAATCCAGAAATCCAACCTTTACTCTACGATTGCAGACAGTTGGGTACACCAAATGAAGAGATATGGCCTGGAGTCAGCAAACTTGTGAACTGGCACGAGTATCCCCAATGGAGTCCCCAGAGTTTGTCAACTGCTGTCCCTACTCTGGACAAGGACGGGCTCGATCTCCTCGAGGTGAGCCTCTTATGGAACACTTGCAGACTTTTGCAGAAGTACCATACTTTTGCAGACTGCATACAATTATGACTATGAAACTAATGACCTGCAACATATACATTGCAGCAAATGTTGAAGTATGACCCGGCAAAGCGTATATCAGCAAAGAACGCCATGGAACATCCGTACTTTGATGATGTAGTGAAGGACGCTCTGTGAGAAGATAAATTATTAGCTGGAGAGAAGATTCCCAAGTGCTACAACAATCAATCCAAGCGAGGCCAAGTTTTTAAGATCACCTTCTGTCATGCAAGCTGAATGACGAGGATGATGATTTGTTCACTCCAATGACAGTAGGATAAAAAAGCTCTCTACTTTGTGCTTCTCTCAAGCAAAATGTAACAATTCTATGATGTTCTGCAATATTAAGATATCATTATGCCAATAGGCGGTACTGATGTGTTAGGCTTTGGCGGATAGCTTGATGGTTCTCTCGACTTGTTTGCTTGAACAACCTCTTAACTATTACTAAGGAACTTTTTTCTTTTTATATTTTATTCATTAAATAATTATTAAGCATAATAAAAAAATAATATAAATCACCATAATTTTTTACATTAACCCTTTCTCATTCGTCCTCCCTCACTTTATCTCTTTTTTTTGCACCCTAGATTGAGAGGTTTAATGGAATAGTAGATTTAACCTTTATTTATCCACTCGTTACTATTGCAAACTATCCCAACGAGTGCAAATGCATTGAAAAATTAAAGTAGCCAATTCCTATGTTTGATTGCACATGTAGTTTTATCTTCTTGTGAAAGGTTTTATATATGGCTTAATTGCAAGTTTGGTCACTCAAATTGCTACAAAAATTTACGTTTGCCACTCAAATTAATTTATTCCATTTATAGTCACTTAAATTAGTTTAACAGTCCAAGTTTGGTCACTGGCCGTTAGTCTCCGTTAACTTTTGATGATGCGACGGTCAACTCTTATAGTTGACCGTTAAATGAGTGACATGGCAATTAAAAAATTAATAAAATAATTTAATTTAATTATTTTTTATTTTCCACCTAATTATTATAAAAATAAAAATAAACCTAATTCCTTTTAATTGTTATTTTCCACCGCCCGTAGCCGTTCCTCTCCCCTCAGGTCGACGACCTCTCCCGGCCGGCCAAGCCCCGCGTGGTGGAGGAGAAGTAGGCGGTGGCGGAGGAGGAGGTGGTGGAGCGGTGGCTTCGTTGGGCGCGTAGTCGTTTAACGATCGAAGGAGTGCCATATTCGGCGGCGGCAGTGGCCCCGAGAATTTCGGTCTTTTGGAGTGATACCAACTTGGCTACTCGTTGGGCTGAGCTCCACTCTCATGCGGCGGCCATCGAGTCGGAGGCTCCGATGATGGCTTCTTAATTGAAGGAATAATCACATGCTTCATTTCGGGAGAAGAAACAGAGGAAGAAAACCTCGATTTGGGGGGAGTTCGGAGCTTAGTAATAATGAACAGAGGAAAATCGGGAATTTTCCACCTCTCGCCAAACATTCATTGATCATACAATAAGAAATCCAAAATCATACAACTACACATTTCCTTCCTTCCATGATCACTCAATCGACGGCGTCGACACATTGGACGGAGGCTTCGTCTCAACCTCGGAAGACGACCTCCTATTGTTGTCGTCACCGTTGGTGTTTTCGCTCTCACTGTTCCTCTCAACGGCGGCGCCATTGGATCGAACAATTTCCTCAATAAACTTCACCACTTCATCCATGGCGGACCGCCTCTCAGGAGCCTTCGCCACGGAAGCCAGCGCGATCTGCAGCATCTACACCATATCTTCCTCCATGCTCTGGCTGCTCACTAGCTCTGCATCGAAAACCTCCGTCGTCCACTCCTCCCTCACCACCGACCTCACCCACCTCGGTAGATCCACCACCTCATCGTACACACCACCTCTGAGGGGACCTCTCATCGGAGCTTTCCCCGTCAGGGCTTCCAGCAGCAGGACGTCAAAGCTGTAGACATCGGATTTATGGCTGGGTTTCCGGGTCTCGATCACCTCCGGAGCTCTGTACCCCATGGTGGCCGGGAAGTTTATCAACGGAGCTAGGCCCACGTCAGAGATGCAGGCGTCGCGGTCGACAGTGAGGAGGACGTTGGAGGATTTGATGTTTTCGTGGACATATTTGGTCCCGCCGGCGATGGAGGTGGAAAATTGCCAGAAATATTATATTCAAAGAAAATTCCCAAGGCGAGTTCGGAAATCGACTCGGCGAAATCGACAGGGCAGAGTAGCAAAAGCAGCGGTGGTGGGGGGTCGGCCACGGGCGGAATTCAGAGGCCCAAGACGATGATGGTGCGGGGCTTGGCCGCCCGGGAGAGGTCGTCGACCTGAGAGGAGAGGAACGGCGACTGGCGGTGGAAAATAATAATTAAAAGGAATTAAGATTTTTTTATTTTTATAATAATTAGGTTGAAAATAAAAATAATTATTTTAAATTATTTTTTAAATTTTTTAATTGCCACGTCATGCATTTAACGGTCAACTATAAGAGTTGACCGCCACATCAGCAAAAGTTAACGGAGACTAACGGTCAGTGACCAAACTTGAACTGTTAACCTAATTTAAGTGACTATAAATGGAATAAATTAATTTGAGTGGCAAACGTGAAATTCTGTAGCAATTCAAGTGACCAAACTTGCAATTAAGCCTTTTATATATATAGCACTGTTGCTTTGCTTTGCTGGCCTCGCTAACCAGCAGCAATCCTGGCCCTGTCAATGGATCTCGTCGTATACGGTACATAGCAATCTTCATGTTATGCATTACGCATGTGTATGTTGACAGATGATCAAGTTCTTGACAAACGAGCAAAACATATTCAAACAAAGGACCATTGGCTTTTGGCCAGAAAACAGAGTAGACCATATGGCCCTTTTTCCCCCTGTCTTGTCGATAATATAATATCGACTAGGGTTCTTACTCATTTGACTAAGTAACTCCTATTTCTTAGATCTGAACAGATCAATCTAACGGTCAAAAAGTGAGAAGAGTTATTTAATTAATGATAGAGATAGTTTGGGTATTATGGAAAATTACGAAGTATAATAAGAACGTACAATCAGTACAAACCATTCAAACATATAAACAGTACAAACTACAACGACAAAACATACAAACAGATTTACAAACATTACAAACGTATGAAATGTACAAAAAATACAAACTAGACCGACAAACAATACAAAAAAAGAAAAAACAACCGGGTTGACTTTAGAGGCTCCATCCCAATATAGAAGGCTTCATCCCAAAGTCAACTCGGGTGTTTTCAAGACATACAAACATTACGAACATGGTCAACAAAAATGACAAACTAGACCGACAATCCACACAAACTGGAAAAAACACACGGGTTGACTTTGGAAGCTCCATCCCTATAGAGAGGAGTTTCATCCAAAGGTCAACCAGGTTATTTTTTAGACATGAAAAACATTACAAACAAGGTTGACAAAAATGATAAACATGGTGTACAAAAATAACAAAGTTGACAAACATTACAAAAGCACCAGCCAAACATTACAAAATAACAAAGTGTACAAACATTACAAAATTAAAAGACAAACAGTGCAAAGCATACTAACCGTACAAAATCTCACTAAAAATGACAAACAAGAATGATAAACAATACAAACCGAATCTATACAAACATTACAAACAAGACTTACAAACATTACCAAATAAGTCAATAAAAATCACAAATCCAGCAGTATCGTCGAAAAATTCTTCTCTGCGTCGATGGTTGCCGAAAAGTCTCATCCGGCCAGCAGAAACTCTCTCTCTCCTGCTGGGGAAAATTCCCATGAAAAGGAAGCTCTCTCTCGTTTGCTTGGGAAGCATGTTCCCGGAAAAGACAGGGGACTGCCGTCGGGAAACTTGGCTGGCCAACGCAAGTGACAGAGACGGGACGCCGGTGTAAGGAGGACGGAGACGCACACTTGCATAATTTTTTTTTGTAATTAAAAAATAAAAAATAAACATGCAATTATCACATTATCCTTCATTAAATAGGATTAATTTATCGATAAAAAAAATTAATTTGAGCGCTTGAATTTTAATAAGGTTGAGTGGTTGAGATTCGTACTTCGCCATGTGATGTAAAGAAGTCACCTGATCTTGACCCTAATATATAATAATAAACTAACTTTCACCAAAATGTCATCACTTACGTCATATTTTCTCCACAAGACAAATTGCCAACCTTGTCTTTATATACATAGGGAACTCACGATTCAGCTCACTAACTAGTAACACCACACAAAAGCAACGCTCGCAGCTCTTCCTCTGCGTCTCCAAACCATGACCGCCGGCGCAGATCAGCAACAACGCCGCCGCCCTCACGTCCTGGTGGTAACGTATCCAGCGCAGGGCCATCTGAACCCGGCCCTCCAATTCTCCATCCGTTTGGTGTCCCTCGGATGCAGAGTCACCCTCGTCACCACCGTCTCCGGCCACCGCCGCATCGCCGCCGGCTCCTCCTCCCTCCCCGCGGAGAGGCTCTCCATCGCGACGTTCTCCGACGGCCACGACGACGAGGTACGCACGTCGTCGTCGTCCCGGGCCACGGACCGGGCCCAGCTATGGGCCCAGCTCGTGACCCGCGGGTCCAAGTTTCTCAGAGAGCTCATTGCGTCCAACGCCAGGGAAGGAACCCCGTTCACGCGCTTGGTGTACACGATACTGCTGACATGGGCGATGGACGCGGCGCGTGAGGAGAACCTCCCCTCCACGCTCCTCTGGATCCAGCCGGCCACCGTCCTCGACATCTACTACTACTTCGTGAACGGGTACGAGGAGATGTTCGACAACTGCAAGGATCAATCGTTCGTCGTGGAGTTACCGGGACTCCCGGTAAGCTTCACGTCGAAGGACCTCCCTTCCATCGTCGTCCCTTCCAACCCGTACCCTATGTTTCTCGAAGTAATGAAGAATCAGATCGAAGTCTTGTCCTCCTCCAACAGGGAGGAGGACAGGACCGGGACGACGACGAAGGTCCTGGTCAACACTTTCGACGCGCTGGAGCCAGAGGCCCTGAAAGCCCTGGAGGGGAAGCTCGACCTGGTAGGGGTGGGGCCCCTGGTCCCGTCGAGCTTCCTATCAGTTACACAATATCCCATCACTACTTTCAACACCACCACCAACTCTGCTAGCGGAGATGATGATGATAAGAGCATCATCTCCGCTCCAGACTACATGACGTGGCTTGACTCGCAACCCACGTCATCAATCGTCTACGTGTCGTTCGGGACCATCGCTGAGGTGTCGAGGAGGCAGAAGGAGGAGGTAGGGAAGGCGCTGGTGAGCAGCGGGAGGCCTTTCCTGTGGACGTTAAGGAAAGAGGCGGAAAAGGCTGAGGAGGAGGAAGGAGCGGAGGTGGCGAGATGGAGAGAGGAGATGGAGGAGAAGGCGGCGGAGGCTGGGGGAGACTGGTTGAGTGGTGCTCGCAAGTGGATGTGCTTTCACATGGGGCGGTGGGGTGTTTCCTGACGCACTGTGGATGGAACTCGACGCTGGAGAGCATGTGTTTGGGGGTACCGACGGTGGGGTTCCCGCAGTTTTCGGACCAGGAGACGAACGCGAAGCTGGTGGAGGACGTGTGGCGGACTGGGGTGAGGGTGACGATAGTGTCTGAGAACGACGGTGGTGGTGGTGGTGCGGTGGTGGAAGAAGGTGAGATAAGGAGGTGTTTGGATTTGGTGATGGGAGATGGGGAAGTGGGGGAAGAAGTGAGGAGGAATGCTAGGAAATGGAAGGAGCTTGCGAGGAGTGCGGTTGGGGAGGAGGGTGGGACTTCCTACGTCAACCTCAAGGCTTTCGTGGATGAGATTACTAGCTAAGTTAGATGACAAGAGGAGAAGATATCATTATGATAATGTAAACATGTACGTGTTGACTGCATAACTAGTTTGAACTAGCTAGTGGAAGTGGATTATTACTTTTCTAAAAAGTTTCTCTTGCACTATTTGGCCATACTATTATTGCATGCTATTAGGGATGGCAAAACTATTCATAATTATGGATATACGATTCGAATCCGGCTTAATTGGGTAGAGTAAAACTCGAACTCGAAGGACATTTAGTGGGTACGGTAAAACCCGAACTCGGATATTGTGGGTAATGGGTGGGCTTGGGTTTCTCAGTATCCAACCCGAACCTGCCCGATTATACACATGCATATGTATTTTGTCTATAAATAATCATTATTTTTTCTCTATCATATTTTATATTTAGCATATAAATATAATATTTTCATGAAATTGTGTTGTTTTAATTAATTTTCTTCATTCTAGTGAATTATATTGTCGTACTTTTCCTCTTACGTAACGTGAGAATACGTGTGAATGTTAACATATTGGTTGGAGTTATGAAGAGAAATTATTACACATGGATAACCGTGGATACCCGAAACTCGAACGGGTATGGGCATAGTTTTGATTTTCTACTCGTTTCACATGTGGGTATGGATATGGATAAAACCCGAACTACTTTGGGTAGGGTAACGAATATGCACTATCCACCCCGACCCGGCTCATTGTCATCCCTACATGCTATTGCTAGCCTCCGTTCAGGGATGAGATCAGGTGACTAAGGGGGGTCCCCTTAGTCACATGACTAAGCCAATCTCAGCCATCCAACATCATTATAATCTAGTGGTTCTAGTTTATCTAGTTTAATGAAGGACAAGATTGTAATTACACATTTTATTTATTTAACAATTAAAATAATAATTGGACAAGTCACTTCCCTCCCTCCCACTTCGCTTTCGTCCTACCGATCGGCGTTCCTCCCATACCTCCGGCCGGCCAAATTTTTTTCCGGCTTCTCATCTTCTTTCCCCGCGGCCAAAGAAAAGAGAGAGGGAGGTGACATGGGAAATTATTTTCCCAGAGAGAGTGGAATCCCCCGGCAGAGAGAGAGAGATTTCCGGCAACGGTGGGGGAGACTTTTTCGGCGATCGGAGATGACAACCGACGATTTCTCAGCGACATTGCTGGATTTGCAATATCGACCTATTTTGTAATGTTTATAAGTCTGTTTTGTAATCTTTATATCAATTCGGTTTGTATTGTTTATTATTCTTGTTTGTCATTTTTCTCTATTACATTTGTAATGTTTATATGACTATTTTGTATATATTGTAATTTGTAATTTTTGTTATTCGAGTTTGTATACTTTTATGTTATGATTTGTATACTTTGTATTCATTTGTTTGTAATACAAGTTTACCAATCTGTATTGTAAGTAGTGATATTTTGTACGTGTAGTATGCTTTGTACTGTTTGTCGGTTTCTTTTGTAATGTTTGTAATGTTTGTTGGTTTCTTTTGTATTGTTTGTAAGTTTTGTTATTTTTGTCTCTTTGATTTTTTCGAATGATGATCTTGTGGTGCTTGTATTTGATGTCTTTCAAATTGGATGAATAAGTTTGATTAATTTTTATTTTAGGCACTAGAAATTGAAATTGAATTATGAATTCATGTTGAATTTTGTATTGATTTTATTTTTAGTAATTATTATTTTATGTTAGCAATGTAGATATGTAGTTAAATTATTTTGGATTACTTGTATGATTATTCGTCTTTAATATTTAGTACTCTTCGTCATCCTGATGTTTGTGGATTGAAAATGATGTTAAATGACACTTCTTAAACTTAATTGGATGATGATTTGTGTATTACATATGATTATTGCTTTGGTTTATTCTATTTTGTGAAAGAAAATCGAAATTATTGATTTGATATTTAGTTAGATTAGGTAGAATCGTAGTTGTTGGGAAGTATTTTAGTTGTTATTGGTTAACAGCCAAACTGACCGCTAACCGAACCGATAATAGACGGTTAACTGTTAAGGCTTATCGGTATTAGTTTTTTTTGCTTATTGGTTAATCGCTAACCGCCATATTCGTTAGTGGTTAACCAAAACCGAACCAATTATCACCCCTAGTTTATATAGTGATGGTGATGAAAACTGTCGCTAAATTTGCAGGTCTTGACAATAATTTTTGTTCGTCCATTGCCCGTCGATAATCTTTACGATATTTTCTTGCATTTCCAGTTTTTACCAAGTTTTAACTTAATTAAAAATGGTTAACATGAATTAATAAAGCAAGGTTGATGACCAATGATAATTTTCACCAATACACCACCCCCACGCCACTACAAATATAATAATACCCGCTCCAAACGGGAACGGATCAGGTGAGTAACCTTATGGTGAGTAACTATGAGTTCCCCGCCCACATCAGTATGACATTAGCATCTTCTCTCTCTTGGAAAGCCTTTAATTTTCCCCTCCTTAATCTTTGACGGACGATTTCTCACTCGTTTTAAGTCGAAATTTAATTTTTTTTGCACAGTTAGATCAGATTAATTGTGCTCTTCAAAATGATATCCACTTTAATATATTTTTCGAACAAAAAAAAAATTGAGTCATTTTTTACCAGTCTATACCATATGGTATTGACTGCTATTGAAATAAGAGCATACCTATGGTTTGAAAAGCGTACCATGGTGGTATGACACAAACCAAAACTGTAGGATGGTTGAATACATGATCGTAGAAGTATATTAATTACCATTTACGACTTTTAACATTGTATACCATAAGATACCACCCTGTATCAGGGTGGTATTGTATGGTATTGTGTGGTATTTTTTGGTCTTGTAATTTATTCACCCAGAAATTTGTAGATCCACTAGATCATGATGAACTTGTCATTGCTGTGCAAACGTTTTAAAAAATGAATTAAAAACGAAGAAGATACCATATGGTATGTAGTTGGTACCGAGAGGCCAGAATTTTTTTTCCTCAAAAAATATTGAAAATTGATCTCATTTTGTAGAGCACGATGAACTCGTTCCATCTGTGCAAAAAAAAAATTAAAATCCGAGTTAAAACGAAAAATATATGAGTCAATTAAGAAAGCTGGTGAAAACAAAAATGACCTTTAATTCTCCATCTTTAGATCTGGATTTTCTAAATAAATGGTCCAGATTTGGTTATTGATGGATGCATAACCCACCTAACTTGAGCCGCTCCAAACAGGTCAGGCCAGATCGGATCACACATATTAGATCAGGAATTGCCATCACTATTTTGGTAGTCATTGATTAGATTTGATATGAACAATTACTTTTGACTAAATTACACGTTTGGTCACTCGAATTATACAAATCTTTCACGTTTGCCACCCAAATTACTTTTCTTTCTTATTTGCCACTAACTTTACAAATCATTTCACCGTTAGTCACCGGCCGTTACATTCCGTTAAATTTGTCCTACGTGGCAGTCAACTATAAAGTTTGACCGTTAACTAGATGATGTGGAAATTAAAAAAAAGTTATTTGTCCACCTCATCATTCCACTTACTTTTTTTTTATATATATATGATTTGTCATCCTCAAATTAATTATTTTTTAATTTAATTAAATTATATCCCAAGTCCTCACCAGCGCCAACCCATCGCCGAACCGAACCCCTACTACGCCACCTAGGCTGCCGCCACCACCACCCACTCCTCCGCCAGCACCACCGCCGTCCCCAAGCCCACCTCCCGCACCAGCACCACCGCCAAACCCGGTACCGCCAGCTCCCCCACCTAGACCTCCACCACCTCCGTCGCCGAGTCCACCTCAACCTCCTGTACCATCACCGAACCCGCCTCCAGTTCCACCACAAAGTCCGCCTCCAGCTCAAGCTATTGGTTTTCCGCCATGAGACGCCGACAACCCCCTGCCGAAACAACAATAGTAAATTCCCCTCGGAGTTGTACTCTGATGATGGTCAGGATGTGGCTGAGAAAGAGAAAACGTCGAGGTGAAACGACGATGACTTATCTTATCCCCGGATTTGAAGTCAACGACAAAGAGGTCAGATCTGCCGAAGGCGGAAGTGACTAGATCTGAATGGAGGGTTCATTCAATTTGCAGTCTCCATCATCAATTAGTTGTTTTTGAGTTCTTCTTGTTGGTTATCAAAGATTTTGGTTCATACTCGCCGACTGCGGTGGATGCTTGAGAACCAGATCTGTCCACTGGCTGCGAAAGGGGTCGTTCCTCGAGACGATTCTGTCGGTGGTCGATCGGGAGGGAGAGGAGGAGGCGAAAGTGGTGGGCGTAAATCGGGATGGTGCCGGAGGGAGCCGGAGATGAAGCAGATCGGTCTGGGTGGCTGATTTGAGAACCATATCTGTCACTGGTTTTCCGTCGACGGCGGGGTCAGAAGTCTCCACCATAGTTGTTGGGGGAGATTAGTGCTTGAAGACTGAATGTCGGTCTGAGATTGAGCATGCAACAGAAAGAGGCTGAAAGGATGAATGTGAGTGTGACGCCGCTGCAACTGGGGAAGGAGAGAGGCGCAAGTGGTCTGGGAGGGAGAGACAAGATCGGGAGATGTCGCCATTGTCGGAGGAGTGACGAGAAGAATGGAGAGTTTGGAGTTACATATATTAATATATCTGCAACTGAAGAACGTAATATATATTCTTTTTAATTTAATTAATTTTTATTGAATAAATGGTATGATAAATCATATATATAAAGTAAGTAAGTGGAATGATGAGGTGGACAAATAATTTTTTTTAATTTCCACGTCATCTAGTTAACGGTCAAACTTTATAGTTGACTGTTCCGTAGGACAAATTGGAAGTTCGGTTATTGGTTTGTTAATTGACCTAAATTATAAGGATCAATAACTCTTTTTAGGCTAACCAAAAAACATTTGCTAGGAAAACTGGCAAGTCGAATTGACGAAAGTCGAAGCCGAAGTCCATTACATTTTTTCTGAACTTGTTGCGTCGAAGTTACTGCTCTACTGATTCTGATACCGAGATTCAAACA